ATGACTGATTGCCTCAGGCAGAGTCTAGAAAATCTTAGGTTGGAATGTGTAAGCCATACAATCTGTCCAAGTTATTTGGAGGATAGAAATGATTTTATTTTTCTTTTCTTTTCTTTCTTTTTTTTGTTGGTCAGGAGCTTGAACTATGGGCCTGAGTGCTGTCCCTCAGTTCTTCAGCTCAAGGACAGTGCTCACTTCTGGCTTTTTTTGTTTATGTGGTTCTGAGGAATTGAACCCAGGGCCTCATGCATGCGAGGCAAGCACTCTACCACTGAGCCATCTTCCCAGCCCAGAAAGGATTTTCTTTTCTTTTCTTTTTTTTTTTTTTTGGTCCAGTTGTGGGGCCTGAACTCTGGGCCTGGGCACTGTCCCTCAGCTCTTCAGCTCAAGGCTAGTGCTCTACCACTTGAGCCACAGCGCCACTTCCGGCTTTTTTTTTTTTCATTTTGCTTATAGGGTGCTGGGGAATTGAACCCAGGGCCTCAGGCATGCAAGGCAAGCGCTCTACCACTGAGCCACCTTCCCAGCCCCCCAGAAAGGATTTTCTTAAACCCAGAAAATTAGACTTGGTTCAGCTGTCGTCAGTGCTTCGAAAACAAGCTTTAACTACCACAAGAACAGGACGGTTCCTACCTCCCCAGCATTCCTATATCTCTTAAGGTCCATTTAATTGCATTCTCCTTCCCAGACTTCCCTGGAAAACACCCAGCAAAATCCCCTTTCTCCCTAAAATAAAATTCATTTCCTTCTTTTCTCTGAAAAGAAAAAAGTTTCTTCACTTAATAATAAAACCCATAACTAGTCTTTAGAGCCTTTGGGAAAAAAATAGTAATCCAGGCCTTTTCAACATAGCTAAATCAGAAGCAGAACTGGTTTCTTCACTATCTCTTCTCAGAATAGTCAGCAGCCTAGAGCCACTAAGGCCCAATCTTTGCTTTTCAGTTGTCTTGCTGGTTTGGCTTGACCTCATTGCTACAGCCCTAGCCACAGCCATCTCTGCACTAGGGCATCCTGGCATGATGAGGCACCACAAAAGCCATTAGGTAGCCCAGAGCTTGATAAAACTTATCGGACTACCTCAAGGTTTTGTTGTTGTTGTTTTTTTTTTTAAATAATCAACTTGAACAGAGCTATTTTATAATTTACCTCAATATTACCATAGGTATTATGGAAAGGTTTTCTACTATTTTCAGTTAGTTGCTTCAGCAATTACTTTTCTGACTCTGAGCACCCTCTTAAAAAAGCTTTCTCCTCCCCACTATGTATGCTCTACACAATAGATCTTCAAAAGTTCTTCAATTAGGATCATCTCTTAGATCAGAAACCAAAGTGATTTCCTCACCTCTTTAATTCTCCATAAGGCATCAGTATTATGCTGTCATATAAGAATTTGTGTGTGTACTTTATGTCAGTTGCTTTTTTTAAAAAAAATAAAAAGCTCTTCTTGTTCTCCTGTGTTCAATATAGGCACTCAAGCACATAGTTAGAAATTATTAATAAAGGCCACAAACATTTCCTCTCATTTCATACATCTGGTCTTCTATGCCAATTAAGAAAAAAAAATGGTGTCAGGGAGACTGGATCTTTCCTTCTTTGGGTAGCTGCAGAATTTTTATCAGAAGTCCTAATAAAATATGTCAAGCCTCATTTGCCTCATCTGTTCTAAGTCTTAGCTTATGTCCAACTTTCCTTCCAAGACGATCTTTACCCGCCCATTAGAATGTAAAGACTTGGAGATTTTGAACAGCAAGGGTCTAGGTAGGAATCAAGTCACTTTCAGTCATGTGTTGGTTATGCGGAGGGGGAAAGATACAGAAGAACAGCAAGGAAGTGGGGTAAAAGAAACACATAGGTTCACTGGGAACGCTGGCAGGAAGCAAGTCTTTCAAAGCTGGTGTCGGTATTTCATGAAGGCCCAGGCTGCTACCACGGTGGGAGCGCTCCGGCCCCAGCATCACCGCTCTAGGAATACTATTTGGGCTCCCCTTGACTTGGATGTCATGTAGGTCCCTTCTGTACCCGTCTCCGGTGCCGCGCTCTCAGCCTGCCGTACAAAAGAGGTCCACGGCATCCTGGTGCTGCAGGTTGGTTGGGATCTCATCACCCCCCTGGAGCTGTTCTCTAGTTAGACTGATTGCTCCCTCTACGACTCTCCTGTCCCTGGTTTACTGCTCTCTCTGGGATTTGCCTGAGGCTCGGCAGACACACCCGCAAGTGAAACTGAATCAGGCTCTGCACAGCACAAGCCCACTTCTACCAGCACCTTCTCCACGGGACGTTTCCCGACTCTCCCATTGAAATGGCAAATCCTTGCCATCTCCAGCACTCTCAGTCCCTTTTCCCTTGCCATTTGATTTTTATAGCACTTATCACCTTTTTTTTATATAAAATATAAATTGTTAGGTATGTCTTTTTTGTTTCATGCAGTGGTCTATCTCTAGTATTTCTACGCTATGAATGAATGCCTCATTTCTCTGCTGTGAATGAATGCCTCATGTGAATTTGCATCCAGATTTTTTTTCAAACAAATGTTTAGTACAGCTAGGTACTGGTGGGCTAATAATGCCTATAATCCTAGCTATTCCTAGGAGGCTGAGATCTGAGGATTGCAGTTTGAAGCCAGAGGGGGCAGTAAAGTCTGTGAGACTCTCATCTTCAATTAACCTCCAAAAAGTCAGAAGTGTAGCTGTGGCTCAGGTGGTAGAGCACTAGCTTGAGGAAAAAAAGTTCAAAAAGGGCCCAGGCCCTGAATTCAAGCCCAAGAACTGGCACACACACACACACACACACACACACACACACACACACACACACACAAGAAAATATTTAGCACAGTTAGTATTGTTTAGTACTAATTTCCTTTCTCTCCTCTCAGTCTCTCTATAGGCTTCTGCTAATCTTACATTTACAAATCCTGGAATGTGAGTTCTGAGAGTTGTTACAAACATTCTTATTTTAAATCTAGCCATTTTAATGAACAGTATATTTCACAAGTTTCTTTGCCTACTAAAGCTTCTAGTAAATATATTTGTCCTCTTGGATTCATTTTCCTTTGTTTGAAATACACCATTCCTTACCCCCCCTCAAGGGAAAATAGATGGGTGGTAAATTTTCTAAATCTTTGTGTATCTAAAATTGCCTTTGTTCATTCTCCAATTTCAATGATGCTGTAGGTTTAAAAAATCCCTCAAGGGGCTGGGAAGGTGGCTCAGTGGTAGAGTGCTTGCCTTACATGCATGAGGCCCTGGGTTTGATTCCTCAGCACCACATAAGCAAAAAAAAAAAAAAAGAAAGAAAGAAAAAAGCCAGAAGTGGTGCCATGGCTCAAGAGGTAGAGTGCTAGCCTTGAGCTAAAGAGCTGAGGGACAGCGCCCAGGCCCAGAGTTCAGGCCCCATGACCGAACCACCCCCCAAAAAAAAAAATCCCTCAAAACTCACAAGTTATTTCACCTATTGCTGATGTGTATAAAGAGCTATAGTGAATATATTGTTATATATATATTATATATAAAATACTTTGTTGTTTGTGTGAAGTGTTACATCTTTTTATATTTACTATGGAGCTATTCTTTGCCAGCCACTTATGTTAAGCAATTTTAAAAAATGAAATTAAGGCATGGCAGAAGACTACCTTCATGGGACTTATGGTGTAGTAGCTGAGTGACACACAATTCTGGTTAATGGCAATGCACTGGACTCTGAGCTGTGAAGGGGAATGCTGTAGGGTTCAGGGCATTGTGGGGAGTATGGAAGAGGACTCTTCACCAAGTCTAAGGACACGTTTGGGTGTGTTGTGCCTTACTTAGGGCCCAACTAACTAAGATTTACATTTGTGGGTGACAGAAATACAACCCACAGAAGCCAGTCAGTTCTAAACCATGAGCTCTGTGGAACACTGCAAGGAACAGGAGAGCAGTAAATGACCAAGAGTCCATCCGGGCCAAGCATAGTTTCCTTGTGTCTTCTTGTGTTTGTCTGCTCAGGACAAGATCAGAGACTCAACAACTTCTGTCAGCCTTTATAGATTGAGAACCCTTCTAGGTCTGAGAAGAACTCCCAAGGAGGTCTCCTGGGCTTCTCCCCACACTTCACTTTCTTCAAAGAAAGTCTGTATCAGTGCCTGGAAACAGCTCCTAGGAGAAAATAAAGCAGCCTCACTCCACCTTGTCCTAATTGTTAGAGTCCTCCTCCTGAAGTGACTGCTGAGCTTCACTCTTCCAGTCTCTTCTGCATCTGTTCTGTGCATTGTGATGCTCTCTGAACATAGACACAAATGGAGGTCTGGCCATTAACACAGGGAGTTATTTGAATATATATCCTCTGTTTTGCATCTTCTCTGGTCACTTACAGTTATCTAGGGACAAATCTCTATCATAAAGGAGTTCTTATCTAGGCACTTCTGGCTCATGTCGGTAATCCTAACTACTCAGGAGGCTGAGATGTGAGCATCATGGTTCAATGCCTGGCTGGGTGGGAAAGTCCTTGAAACTCTTTTTTTTTTTTTAAAGTTTTTTATTGTGACAATACTGTACAGAGGGGTTACAGTTACATGAGCAAGGTAATGAGTACATTTCTTATCAAGCATTGTTGCCTCCTCCTTTGTTTTTCCCCTACCATCCCTTCCCTCCCACCTCCATAACTACACTCCCCCTCCCAGGGCCTAAATTGAAAAGTTCATTTTTCAACATAGTGTCTTGTACATCTCATTGTTACAATCCCCAATTAACCACCAAAAAGCCAGAAGTGGAGCCTCAAGTGGTAGGGTGCCAGCCTTGAGTGAAAAAGCTAAGACAATGCCCAGTCCCTGAGTTCAAGCCCCTTCCCCTCTTCCCCCCACCCCCCCCCCCTCAGCACTGGCAAACACACATACACAAAAGGAGCTCTTCATGTGCATATCTATGTTTCAGACATCAGTACATGATAGTTTGCACAGGCCAGTGTGTGAGTAGTTTAGTTTCCATCCTCCTCTCTTTGATGAGTTTCCTCTTATACCCTGACAGATTCATGAGGACACATACCACATGCAGCGTGGCCTGCAGGAGCGAGTGCAGAACTGCAGCAGATCCAGGATAGACCATGGCTCAGTGCACCTTCACAAGGTCCTGCTCCAGCAGCTGCAGCAGAAGCTGAGTCAGACAGAGACCTGGCTGCTACAGTTGGGAAGCTTGCACCGCTTGGTCAATTACATGATTTGTCAGAGCCTGGTTTCAATCTTGGAAGATGAGATAACCTCTTTTGTGGCCAATATTATCCAAGTGAGGTAGTGGGTGAAGATGGGAAGGCAACCAAGGGTCATGTAGTAGGGAGGGGGGGATGGGTACACATGCTCCATATACCCTCTTCTGCTTCTTTTACAGGCCCCCAGGAAAAACCCCTTCCTCTTATCACGGCTTATCTTTAATGAATGTAACCAGCTGTCTCCCATGCCCCCTGTTGAAAATATAATCCGTAATCTCATTGATGGTGTGCAGTCTATCAAGACCTGTACCCTGCAGGTATTGTGGATTGAGCAGGGGGCTGGCTGTTGGACTTCCTACTTCCTATCACCATTTGTGCAATGCGAAGTCCCAGTCTGGTTAGAATTTCTTATAGTTTGTCCATTTCTGCCTCTTCTCTGTATCCTGGTATGAAGGTAGTACGGTCTGCAGCTCTGAAGCCCTCCAAGAATGTCCTGAGTAAAAAAGGTATTTAAAAAGACTCCGGCGGGGGTATGAAGGCTGGAGGGGGGGGGGCACATGTAGAGCATGGGAAGTAGACAGGTGTCCCAGCCCATGGAACTTAGTCCTTCAGTACGGAATAAAGCAGCTCTTGAAAGGTAGGGCAATTGGACCTGGTGTTTTTGTTCACTATCCGATACTTGTAAGCTTACATACATATGTGTATGTAGTGAGGGTGTATATTTAAGAGTGAATTAAATTGCCCTTCCCCTACTTTGCCCAAAAGTCCATAAGGTTTTTCTCTAGTGAAATAGTTGCATTTTATTTACTGTTGAATTTGGTTGCTAAGTTAATTTATACTTGCTTGAGGAGTGTTTCTTGTTCAACACTTGATTGATTGATTGATTTTTTGTCTGTCATGGAGCTTGAACTCTGGGCATGGGCACTGTCCCTCAGCTCTTCAGCTCAAGGCTAGTACCCTACCACTTGAGCCACAGTGCCACCTCCGGCTTTTTCTGCTTATGTGGTGCTGAGGAATCGAACTTAGGGCCTCATGCATGCAAGGCAAGCACTCTACCACTGAGCCAACTTCCCAGCCCTGACACTTGCTTTATTTTGTACAGCTGCTTTTCATTTCATATCGAGGAATTAATTGATAATGTTGACCTTTCAGTTCTGCACCTGTTCATGATCAGGGAAGCAATACATCTTCATATTTCCCTTAGTTAGAGTACTAATATAAGAAACAGACATGTTGAATTGAAGCCCTTTGTACAACTACTTAAGCATAATAAAAAAAATAAATGGAAAAAATAGAATAGTAATGTGAGAGCTATAGGCATGGTTCAGGGTGGAAGGCCACGCTAGACTACTATTGCTGTTGCAACAAAACCACAAAATGCGTTCAATCACATTCGCATGTAAATGCCTTTTCTTGTATATGTGTTGCCACAATGGACACAGGAAATGCCTTTTTTTGTCTTTTGTTTTATTATGTCTTATTTTTTTTTGGAGACAGCTCAGGTTGGCCTTGGATTTGCAATCCTATTGCTTCAGCCTCCAGAGGGTTAGGATTACAGGTGTATGCCACCATGACCTAATATATAGATGCTTTTTAACTTTGCCATTCAACTGGTACATTTTCATTAAGGTGAATGAAAGATGGAATTAAATTAAGTCAATAGAAGACAAAAAGAAAAAAAGTTAATTGAAAGGAGCCTGTGGTTTTTACAAATTGCACTGGCTAGGACATAATTTTTCCAAAAGTGAATTTCAGCTAATTGATAGACTGTTGGAATCTATTTTACATAGTGCAGTAGAAAGATAAAAAGCTCTAAAATCAGACAGAGCTTGAGATCAAGCTCTTCTAATCTGCACAGGGGAAATAAAAAAAGTACCTCAACTAAATGATTGTTTTGAAGATCAGAAAAGGTAGTATGTCCAGCACATAGTAATTCATGCTACAGATTGTATTTTATTGCTACTAGTATTAGTACTGTTAGTATTAAAGACTTAGCTAAATCAGAGGAGCCACAAGATTTTCTCATTATATGCTTTGGTATCTTCTTTTAAATTGTTTAAAAAAGAAAAATAAAAGGGAACCTTGAGTTGTTATTCTAAAATCTAGAATGAGTGCAACTACTCATGGCAATCGTTAGATGCTTTCCCTTCCACATTTTTCTTTTTTTCTTTTCTTTGTCAGTTGTGGGGCTTGAACTCAGGCCTGGGTGCTGTCCCTGAGCCCTTTTGGTCAAGGTTAGCACTCTATCAGTTTGAGTAACAGTTCTACTTTCAGTTTTCTGGTAGTTAATTGGAGATAAGAGTCTCACGGACTTTCCTGCCTGGGCTGGCTTTAACTGCAATCCATAGATCTCAGCTAGGATTACAGGTGTAAGCCTCCAGTGGCTGGCTTGTCCCTTCTACTTTCAAAAGAACAACCCAGACTGATGTGTTTGGGGTAAAATATAATGTTTGTCACTTACTATCAAATGGCATAGAGGAAAAAGATGGAAGGAAAACCAGAAAGCAATGTGGTAAAATGTTAATTTTTGAATCTAAGTAGATGGGTAATGCCATTCCTTACGTTTTTTTTTCTACAAAATTTGAAGCAAATAAGATCTACAAAATCAGATCTGCAAATTGGGATTACTATACTGAAACAGAACCAAAGTTTTCAATCTCTATAAGGATTTTCCCTAAATTCTTTACAAGAATGAAGTTATTAGGGCTGACAATGTGGCTTAATGATAGAATGCTTGCCTAGCATGCATGATGCCCTGCGTTAGATTCCTCAATGCCACATAAAGAGCAAAAGCAGGAAGTGGCATTGTGGCTCAACTAGTAGAGTGCTAACCTTGAGCAAAAGAAGCTTAGGGACAGTGCACAGGCCCAGAGTTCAAGCCCCAGGACTGGCAAAAAAAAATAAAGAAATAAAAAAATACAGAATGAAGTTTTTTTTGAAGTTTTTTTGAAGTTATTTTTAATAAGAAATATGTAGCAGATAAACCCCTTTTAGTAATATTTAAGAAGCACACATCAAACTAAGAAATATTTATTTCATGAAGGCAAGACTTATACATCTTTTTAACCAATTTTTAAAATTATTTCAAATCCCTATTTATATATGAAAAATAAAACTCCTTTACAGTAGAAACATACACTGGTTATAGTTTAGTCACTAAAAGAAAACAGAATGTATTAATAACAAAATGTCAGGGTCATATATCCCCCATCTTTACTCTGTGTACTCCAACGTATTTCACAGAACATCTTGGAGCAAAAAAAAAAAAAAAGTAGAATATTAATATTACCATCCAATGTTTCTGTAGTCTTCTCTCAAAATTTTACTTAGTTCAAAACTGAGAAAAAAAACTATCAGGTCATCAATCACTTTCCTCATCTGTCAAATGTCAAGTTCAAAAACTACCAACCATGATATTCTTATGTTAGTGTAAAGTATGACAATTATTTGACTAAGATCTTCTGAGTGTCTTTTTTATATTTGTGGCAAGCTAAATTCGGTACAGTGAAAAAAAGACAAAGGATTGTCTCATTATACATTTTTTGAGAATGTAGTCCACGTGGATTTGAACTCTATAGACATCATCCTTCCTCAGCTTCCCAAACAGGCCTTCATATTATCTTTTATATCATGAAGGTTATGTAATGCATTATTTTACATAATGGTGTACTTAATCTTTTTACATAATCTTTAGTGTGCATTTTAGTTGAGATGGTGTTGAAGTTAGCTTAGAGATACAAAACGAAGAATGAAAAAGATGTGACTGTTCATTTTGTCTTCACCAGGAAACTTCACATTTCACTGGGGTCTTTCGAGAGAGATAGATTTGAATATTATGACCAGGAAAAAGTATTAAAAGAAACAGTGTGGGAGCAAGATGATTTTAGATAGGAGAAGAAACAGACTTTTTCTTCTTGGTGCTTTGTGAAACTTTAAAGAAACGAAGAGTTGACAATTTTAGCTCTGTGTGAACTACCAGAATCCCTCACTCAAGGAAATCTACAGTAAAGATCTATATTATTTAGAACTTTCAAAATTAGATTGATATTTTATTGAACTGTGGGCCTGGGCACACTCCCTGAGCCGTTTTAAGGCTAGAACTTTATCACTTGAGCCACAGTGTCACTTCCAGTTTTTGAGTGGTTACTTGGAGATAAGAGCCTCACAGACTTTCCTCCCTGAGCTGGTTTTGAACCATGATCCTCAGATCTCAGCCTCCTGAATAGCCAGGATTACAGGTATGAGCCCCTGGTGCCTGGCTGATAGTTTAAAATACAGCTCGATATCAATTTATATGTAGTGTGTGTGTGTGTGTGTGTGTGTGTGTGTGTGTGTGTGTGTGTGTGTGTGTTCCTAATTACTCTGAAATGATTGGTTTTCTATTTGAAGCAAACTTTATTTTGCTCTCATTCTAGGAATGAAGTTATTGGTGGTTCCTCCTTTATTTTATATGTTCCTTCCACAAAACTACATTAAAAATAGACTCGCTTTTGTTTGTATGTAGTCACACTGGGATTGACTTTGTATAGTTCCATGTAGGTCTTGGCACCTTGAGTCATTGTTCTTCAACCTTGTCACAGAACAAAGTTACTCAATTCAAAGGCAGTAAAGAAAGAGCAGCATCAACCTTCACAGAAATTGGAACTAGAAAGTCAGGCAAAGTGACCCTGTCTCTCCAAGTATGACTGATCTTTTTAACTCTGTTTCTCCCTGTGTATCTTTCCAGTTCCTTGTATTCCTAAGATCAGCTATCTCTATTTCCACTGAGTGTTCTGCCTCCAGATGACTACTATTTTCAAATGACTTGAGCTGTGCAACACCAATTCCACCCTTGACACTATATGATCTTTTAGTCAAGTTTTCCCGTATGTGTGAGAAATTGAGAAAATAGGCTCCATGCTGGTGAGTCACATACCCATAATCCTAGCTACTCAGGAAGTTGAGTAGTCCAGGGTCAAGATATTTAAAGCCAGCCTGGGCAGACAAACCCAAGAAACTCTTATTTCTGATTAAACAATAAAAACCTGGAAGCAGAGCTGTGGCTCAAGTGATAGAGTACCAGCCTTGAGTGAAAAAGCCAAGAAGAGTCTGAGACCCTGAGTTCAAGTGTGCACATACACACAAAAATGAAAAAAATAAGGACTATCATATTGTAGACAATCATGTAGCCACAAACTACCACAAGGGAATGTGTCATGCAAACTGATTGGTAAAGGTACCTCTTCTATTTTTTTTTTTTTTCCGGTCATGGGGCCTGAACTCTGAGTCTGGGCGCTGTCCCTCAGCTCTTCAGCTCAAGGCTAGCGCTCTACCACTTGAGCCACAGCGCCACTTCCGGCTTTTTTCTTTTTGCTTATATGGTGCTGAGGAATCGAACCCAGGGCCTCTGGCATGCAAGGCATGCACTCTACCACTGAGCCACCTTCCCAGCCCAAAGGTACCTCTTCTTAGAAGGATGTGTGTGTAATGGAGTTGTTTGTAATCTTCAACTATGCTTATCTTGGTTATTAATATGTGAGACTGAATGTGTGAGTTGGTTTGGGACTACGTAATCCTAACATAATCCAAGAAGAATTTATTGGTTCTCCCAAGAAAGGTATATTTTCAGCTTGGCTCAGTTACAGTGGCCTAAACCATAAAACCAAAACGTCTTGAGGTAAGTGCTTCCAGGATTTAATGGCTCAAAAGTGCTGTTAAGTATGATTATGTGGCAAAAGATTAAATGCTATGAACTAGGGTCTTTATATCTTTTCCACACACCTTCCTGCATTTATTGACAGGTCAGGGCAGAACATCTTTGAAGGGAGAGTGTGCTGGAGAGGCTGCAAACATTTGTTATTGACATTTAAAAAAAATCTTCAGGCTTATTATTGTTTTTTTTTGTTGTTGTTGTTGTTGTTTTGTCAGTTGTGGGGCTTGAACTCAGGGCCTGGGCACTGTCCTTGAGCCTTTCTGTGCTCAAGGCTAGTGCTCTAGCCCTTGAAACACAGTATTACTTCTGGCCTTTTCTGTTTATGTGGTGCTGAGGAATCAAACCCAGGGCTTCATGCATGCCAGGTAAGCACTCTACCACTGAGCCACATTCCCAGCCCTCTTTAGGCTTATTGTTTATAGTTCTAAAACAATGTGCAACTCTAAGCTTTCCCTTCTTTTTCCCCCTCTCTTCCTCCTCTTCTTCCTCCTTTTTATTTTTTAGAGAGAGAGAGTATATATTATTATATACCAGGTTGCTTCAAATTCACACTCCTCCTGTCTCACCTATCTGAGTGCTGAGATTACAGGCATGTATCATCATACTCCACCGTCTTCCCCAATCCCCTTTGTCTTTTTTTTTTTTTTTTAATGGTGCCTGTCCTGGGGCTTGAACTCAAGCCTTTTCACTCAAGGCTGGCACTGTACCATTTGAACCACAGAGCTTCACTTCTGTTGTTTGGGTGGTTAATTGGAAATAAGACTCAAGGACTTTTCTGCTTGGGATGGCTTTGAGTCACAATTCTCAGATCTCAGCCTACTGAGCAGCTAGGATTTATAGGTGCAAGCCACTGGTGTCTGGCTTTAACTTCCTTTGCTTAAGCAAAACTAGAGAGAAAGTGGGCAACAAGTCACCAGGGTAATTGTCTATGCCAGAGTCTCGGTTTTCACAAGAAAAAAAGAATCTTATCCAGAAATATCCCTAGCAGATTCACTTTTATATCTTCTAGTCAAAATCTAGAGAATGTTACTACTTCTAGTTATTTAAAAAAAAAAAACAACAAGAAATCAAATGGCTGACATCCTCAGCTTTTCTAAGGGGTAGGCTTTGCCACCAAACAGGAAGGAAGAGGAAGCTAGCTTCCTCTTCCAAAGTCCCAGTCTTCAGAGAGGCTTTCCCTACCTGGCAAGCATTTTCTACATTGTTGCATCACACTGTGCTTACTCTTTCCCCTGTCACTCAATCTTAGTTCTGCAATTAGTCATGAGTGAAGCACTCCTTACATTGACATCTCTTTAGTAATTTTGTTTTGTCTGAAGCTCATTCTCAGTATATTCTTTAGGAGAGCTTTCAGAAACAAAATTCTCAAGTTCTTCTCCGTTGATAACAGTTTATATCTTTTTGGAGTTAGTGTTGCAAGGTGTGAAAGTATTGTTGAATGTCTTTTTCCCCCTTACTTATCTGAAATACATTACTTCACTGTCTTCACTACTGTGAATTGTGTGTTGATATCTAATTTTCCCCTTAAATGCAATTTCTCTTTTTTTTAAATTTATTTTTTTGTCAGTTGTGGGCTTGAACCTCGTGGTCTGGGAATTATCCCTAATTCTTTTGCTCAAGGCTAGCATTCTACCACTTTGAGCCACAGTGCCACTTCCAGTCTTCTGGTAGTGAATTGGAGATAAGAGACTCAAGGTCTTTGCTGCCTGGGCTGGCTTTGAACTGCAATCCGCAGATCTCAGCCTTCTGAGTAGCTAGGATTACCTGGCTTCAATTCTTCTCTCTCTTTTGTCTATTTTTTTTTCCTTTTTCATGATATGTAGCAATCTGAGTAGAATGTGCTTTGGCATGAAATATGGGGGAGGAGTCTCATATTTTCTCTCTTACTATAGTTTTAAATCTTTTAAAAATATGTATTTTGTTTTTATTTGAATCACATAAACCTTTCACCTTTTAAATCTGTTTCAGGACAGTTTGCTTTGTGATTTTCAAGACAGCTTTACTGAGATATATTCTTCATCTCAGAAGTCAGCCACAGAGAGCATACACTCTAGCACTTTAATATGTTCTCAGAGCCATTCAATCATCATCACCAACAATTTAGAACATTTTCATCATTCCCCAACAACTCTATAGCCACTAGTAGTCATTTCCTCTTTCTCTCTTCTTTGTTGTTCATGTAGTTAGCTTTTCTTAAGTAGTTTCTGAAGGAGAGGTGATTCAAGATCGTTTTCTGACCACTCAGTTAACCTTCTATAGAACCATAGTTCTACAGTGCTAAAACAAACAAAAAGTGTCAGCTGGCTTCCCGTTATTTCCTGGCCATACCTTTGTCTGGGCTTTTTTTTCTCCAGCTTCCATCCTTCTCCATTTTTATTATACTCCCAGCAGTCTCCCCTTACTGTCCCGAGTTTTCAAGAGGTCCCAGGGCATCAGTTGTTTCAGTTACTTTGGGCCTTACCTTTTACTTGTTATTATGCAAATCAGCCCTCATTCCACTTTCGAGAAAAAAGCTTGCTGGCTGTTGGGAGTTTCCAGCGCTTCATTATCTTTGCTCTGTCTCCTTCCTCATAACTGCTGATCGAGGAGGGGCTTGAAGCTGTGTGAGTGGTCTGCACTATTTCAAATACCATGTGCTCCTCAAGAACCACTATTTCACATATCATGCGCTCCTCAAGAGCCACGGGAGTCACAATGATAGACATGCAAACAGAGAACTGTCTCAGCGGAGCAAAATTTACTTGTGCAAAAGTGTGTGCCACCAGCCAGAAATCTGGCAAGCAGGCAGGCTGCTCCTCTATTAATTCCTAACACAGCAGGCCCCACCCCTCTGCCCAGATTGGTTGTGCTCACATTCACAATCTGTTCTCAGTTGGCTAGTTTGAATAAGGTAAAATGCACTTACATAAGGTGACCCTTAAAAGACTGAAAAAAGATGAACAGTACACTAATAATCCCCAAATATACCCATACGCTGCTATCTTGAACCATCTGAGTGTGTCTTCCATAAAGGCAAAACTTTACGTTTCAAAAATCTTTCTTTATCCCAAAGCAATTCATTTTTTTTCTTTCAGCATTTGCTGATATTGTCTTAGCAGAATAATCCACCAGGCCAAAGCAGGAACTATTCTTTTTTTAATTTATAAGAGTTTTATTTAGCGAGGTGCTGGTGGCTCATGCTTGTAATCCTAGCTACTCAGAAGGCTGAGTAGCTAGGGCAGGAAAGTCTGTGAGACTCCAATAAATCACCCAAAAACTGGAAGTGGTGCTATGGCTCATGTGGTAGTGCACTAGCATTCAGCTGAAGAGCTGAGGTCCAGCGCCTAGGCCTAGAGTTCAACCCCCATGACTGACCAAAACAAACAAACAAAAAAAAGAAATAATTTCTCCCATCCCCGTGACCCACTTCTTCAAACTAGATCTTGCATTCTACTTCCATCATCTCCCAACACTCTATCTACCACATCTATACCCCACTTTTTGCTGATTATTTTGAAGATGGAGTCTGGCAAACTGTGCTTCCCAGGCTGGCCTCAAACCATAATCCTCCAGATCTCAACCTCCTGAGTAGCTGAGGCTGGGGTACCAGAGACAGTGATGGAGTCAGAGCCTTCATTATGTAGTCGTCTCTGGGCATCCCTTCATAGACACACCCAGAGATGTGCTTTCTAAGATCCTAGTTATCTTACAATTCAGTCAGGCCGATGATCTATGTTAACATCACATCACTGGATATTGTGATGGCTAGATATGCTCTATGTGAGAGAAGAATCAAAGATGACTGCAGCCAGACACCAGTGGCTCATACTTATAATCTTAGTGGCTCATGCTTATAATCTTCAAGTAAGATCTTGAGGGTGTGTACAAATACAGTAGAGATCTGAGGCCCAAACCTTGGGAGCACTCTGTACTTTAGATTTTCTTACACCAAATGTGTGTAAACAGATGTGATTTTGATGCTTTCCCACCTTTATTTGGAGAAAAAATTTTAGCACAACTATTCATCATGATAGTTAACTAGTTCTTCAAAAGTGAAGGGGGTGTGCCAGGCTCAGATAGTGAGGACTGGCCTGATCAACATCTCTTCCCACCTACATCTTCTTCTATTCTACAGAGGATGATGTGCTACAAATTACAAATTCCCAGACTCTCTTGCAGCTATGTATCATATGATTTTTCCATTCAGAATTAAGGGAAAAGGTAGAGCACGTTCATCTACTCTGCAGATTCTGCATGGCAGAGGCAGTGTGCTTGGTTCCTCATGGTAGGGGAGACATTTCAATTTGCCAATCAACAGAAAGTCCAGATGCTTAGCCTAGAGTGGCTTTGCTGTTCAGATCTCATTACTCTATACCAGTTAACATGTTGTACATTTCCCTTTCTGCATGGACAAACAGTAAATTTAATTCTGTACCTCTTGAATTCTAAGTTGTAAGTTCTCTCTATGAACTGTGTTGATGCTATTGATGTGTGTAAAGTTATGAGCAAGAATTGGATATGTGAGGATATGTGCATTGAACATACACTCAGGGTAGAGAGAAAGGCTTCATGGGGACTCTGGAGGGCTCTCATAGACCATTAACCTCAATTGTTCCACTAGGGAAAAATGAGGAGACCTCAGACCAAGACTCAGAATTCCCAATACCTGATTTCCACAACCAGCCCACCTATGCTGTTAAAATGTTCTGTGGCCCTAATGTTGGATTCGTGTTACCCTGGAAGACTCATGTAGTTACCACTCATTTCCTGGAGATCTGTGGGCACCGACTGCGGGGCGATTATTTGCCTCACAATTATAACCAGCTGCAGGTGGATTTGGACAGAAGCTTCCGAATCCAGCATGCACTGACTACACAAAAGGCACTGCTGGAGGTAAGAAGCTGAGGTTTCAGGCCCGCAATGCTGCTCACTTCTCTTCCTTAGCCACTGCCTCTATCTTAAGACCCCTGTCTTCCCCTAGGCCATGCGGTGTGAGGTGCAGGAATTCTGCAAAGACCATCAATGGGTTACAGTCATTTATGAGTTCCTGCAGGGCTGGGGGCCTGAGAAGCTGGAGAACATGCGAGGCTGTCCTGTCAAGAACTACATAGCACTGGTGACCCGTCTGAAGGCTTGGCAGGCCCAAGTCTCTGAAATCCCTAATCAGTTGGTGACAAAAGGCAAGCTGCTGCTGCTGAGCTGCTGTGATGTAAAGACAGAGCTAAGTGAGTATTGCCTGGCTCCATTCCTTCCCTGTACTCACATAGCCTGCCTTGGGCCACAGCTGTCTACCTTTGGCACAGGCCCCTCTTTGAACAATAGGAGCATCCTAAAGCCCCTTCCCCTTTTCTATCAAACTTAGGATTACTAACAAATAACCTCTTATTATAGCTCCACGTATTCCCTGAATTTCTTAGGAATCATGTTTTTGTTGTTCAATAATTTTTTTCTTTTAAAAAATCAGTTCATATATATATATATATATATATATATATATTTTTTTTTTTTTTTTTTTTTGGGTCCGGTCGTGGGGCCTGAACTCTGGGCCTGGGCGCTGTCCCTCAGCTCTTCAGCTCAAGGCTAGCGCTCTACCACTTGAGCCATAGCGCCACTTCCGGCTTTTTTCTTTTTGTTTATGTGGTGCTGAGGAATCGAACCCAGGGCCTTGAGCATGCAAGGCAAGCGCTCAACCACTGAGCCACCTTCCCAGCCCCATATATATATATATATATATATATATATATATTTTTTTTTTTTTTTTTGCACTCAGGGCCTAGGTGCTATCTTTAGTTTAGTTTAGTTTTGTTGTTTTTTTGGCTTAAGGCTTTACCCTACCACTCAAGCCACAGCTCTACTTTCAGCTTTTTTTTTTTCTGGTGTTTATTGGAAATAAGAGCCTCACAGACTTTTCTGCCCAGGCTGGCTTTGAACCTTTGTTTCTCAGATCTCAGCCTCCTGAGTAGCTAGATTTACAGGTGTCAGCCACCAGCACTCAGCACACAGAGGGCAAGGTAATGAGTACATTTCTTATCAAGCATTGTTGCCTCCTCCTTTGTTTCCCCTTCCCATCCCACACATTGTATTTTTATGGTATAGACATAGTTTATACCAATATGGTGGAGAAAAAAAAACTCAGCCTGCTGCTTGGGCTATTGATCTCTGTTTCTTCCCAGATGTTCTCAAGAATCTAGGGTCCATCGTGTTTCCCCCCCTGCCCCCCCCCCCGGCACCCCTTTCCCACCATGCATGTAGCAAATCAGCTCTTATGCCACAATTTGCATGTATAGAAATTCTCTAGCAGGTCTTTCCTCACTCTATAATTCTTAACTTCTGTGGGTTTAGTGAGAGAAGAATATGATCCTCCTAATTAAAAGGAGCTCTCTTCATTTTAAGTGGCCACTTTGGTCTAGTTCAGTCTATTGTGGGTAATTGATTATACCACAGTTCTGGGTTATTTTTATTCTTAAGTGTCCTCTGCTCCCTTTTCCTTCCCCAGATGCCATCTGGTTCTGCAAGGGTGGGGGCTGTCTAGTTGCATGCTCTTCTTTGCACAGTATTGTACATCCTTACGTAGCCTCAGCTCTCCTGTGCTTCGGGTGCTGTGTCCCGGGTTGTGGTAGCTGTGGCCTAGTAGAGTTCCTAGTGCTTTCCTTTCCTGGCTCAGCCCCACATTGGCTTTTGCTAGCATAACAGATCTTCGGGGTTTTGAATCAATCCCTCGTTGAGGCTGGTCATGCCCACAGCACTTATTTCAGGATCCCTCACCCCACAACATAGAAACCTTCTCCAGTCTCACTGGTGATCAATTCCTCTGTTATGTTTGGTGTCTCCTGCCAGTTGGGAGCTCTGGGGGACTTTTTTTTGGGGGGAGTGCCAGTACTTGGGCTTGAACTAAGGAGTCTGCTCAAGGCTAGCACTTGAGACACAGCTCTGCTTCTGTCTTTTTGGTGGTTAATTGGAGATAAGAACCTGATAGACTTTCCTGCCTGGGCTGGCTTCAAACCACAATCCTCAGAACTCAGCCACCTGAGTAGCTAGGATTACAGGTGTGAGCCATTGGTGCCTGGCTGGCGACCTCTTTCTATTATAACACATCATAGCACGATTTCTACTGTGTAAGTGACTGGTTCATATTAGCTCAAGGGCACCCTAAAGGTTCCACATAGAATGGGGGACTCAGTAGCTGCCTTCTCTCTGCTTTCTCCTTAGCCCATCTAAGTTTATCTCTTTTTGCCGCTTCCTATCTCTGCTAGGTCAAAGCCCACTTGTTGATGCCCCTGAGAAAATCTGGTTTACACCTCAGTGGTGTCTCCTCTTTTTCTCTTGCCCCCTAGGTATTGGAAGGATGACACATGATATTGTACTCTAGTTCCAGGAATTAGCCTAGGAGCTAGGCTTGTAGAGGTTCATGGTAGGGTAGGTTAAGAAGTCACTGACTTGTTTTTTAGGAAACAGGAAGATTTTTCTAATCCTCGCTTAGGCTCACCAAGGATGGTAATAATGAATAGTGCCTACTTCCTGCAGAGCCTAAATATTATTGGACCCATCACACACACACACACACACACACACACACACACACACACACACACACACACACACACACACACACACACACACACACACACACACAATCTTCACCTGCTTTATGAAAGTAAGAGGCCTTAGAACTGGGGCCTGGAAAGACTGAGCTTGAATGTACTTTCTTGCAAAGCCTTCCTGGCTTTGATGAATGCAAGCTCTGACTCTTTGTGGGAGAGGAGTGGAATGCTGGCAAGGCAGGAACAGAGGTCTGTGATTGGTCTGCTCTCCTTCTGGCCCTGTTTCAGGTGGGCTTTGTACCACCTCTCCCCTGTCTTTCTGGTCTGTTAGCTTCTTGATTCCTAGTTCAGGATCAAGTGGTTGGGCTTGGAATGTAACTTAGTGGTAAAGTGTTTGCCTTGCATGCATGAAGCCCTGGGTTCCATTCCTTAATACCATCTAAACAGAAAAGGCTGGAAGTGGTGCTGTGGATCAAGTGGTAGTATGCTAGCCTTGAGCAAATGAAAGTCAGGGACAGTGCCCAGGCCCCGAGTCCCAGCCCCAGGACTGGCAAAGAAAAAAAAAAAAAAAGATCAAATGGTCTCTTTAGAGGAGCTGATGGGAAGTAAGGATCCTGGCTGGCTTTCACTTGCTTCATGGCAAGATCACTGAGCTTCAGTTTCTTTGTGGCCAGAGTATGCTAATGTAGTCACTCAGAACAAGAGCAAGGACTCAATGCGATATTATTACAGTATTCCTAGTGCTGACTATGGAAAGCAGTAGTAATTTTTCACTTCATCTCTTCCTCTTCTGTCTTCTTTTACCCTTCTTGCTGATCACAGTTTATCTTCTTATCTCTAATTCTGGGCATCTTGTTCCTGAGCTTCCTTGAACAGCGGACAGCGTACTGAACCTCTCTGGTACATTGGCCTCAGTGGTAAACTAGCGATCATCCTTTACTCCTCCTCCTTCTGCTCCTTAAATCTGCTACATCCAAGCTAGCACTGCATCCTTTTGCCTCCTGAATATCTTTCACATATGTTTTCTCATCCAGCTCCAGCTCTCTGTCCCGAGCCCTGATATTTTATCAAACCATTTCTCCTTTATGCCATATGGTGTCACTGTTGCCTTCCCCCAGCCTTTACCTAGCTGCTGCTACTGATCCAAATGTGGCAGCATTGCCTGTCTACTGTTAGGGGCCAGAGGAATATTTTTTTTTTATTTAATTTTTTTTTGTGTGTGTGAACATACTGTACAGAGGGGTTACAATTACATGGGCAGGATAATGCGTACATTTCTTATCAAGCATTGCAGCCTCCTCCTTTGTTTACCCTTCACATCCCTTCCCAGCCTCCCCCCTCCCCCCCACCCAATCATACCCCCCTCCCTCCCCTCCCCCCACCAACATTGTGAAGCTCGTTTTCGACATGACAACTTGTACTTCTCATTATTGCAACAGGTCCACCTGCATCCTTTAACGACTTGTTTTTCCCATCTCCTCCACAAGTTATACTGACATCAAATATAGTGAAAGCAGGGGTTATATGGTGGGGGAGGGACATACAAAGCAACAAAGAGATAATCTTATAAATGCGTTAGAAACAAATACATGAAAGAAAAAACATTAAAATACATATCTAAGGGTTCATTTTCCTAACATCACATTATCTGACCTTTTCTGCTTGACTCATACATATACTAGATATTGCAAATAAGGGAAACCATGGGACCTATGTCTTTTTGGGCCTGGCTTACTTCACTTCATAGAATTTTTTCCAAGTTTTTCCATTTCCTAACAAATGGGGCAATGTCATTCTTTCTGACGGAGGCATAGAATTCCATTGTGTATAGATACCACATTTTCTTGATCCATTCATCTACTGAGGGGCATCTGGGTTGGTTCCATATCTTAGCTATGGTAAATAATGGTGCAATAAACATAGTTGTGCTGGTAGCTTTAGTGTGGTCTTGTTTGTAAACATTTGGGTAAATGCCCAAAAGTGGGATTGCTGGGTCATAGGGGAGCTCTATGTGAAGTCTTTTGAGGAACCTCCATACTGCTTTCCAAAGTGGTTGAACAAGTTTACACTCCCACCAACAATGCAATAGGGTTCCCTTCTGTCCACATCCCCTCCAGCATCTGTTGTTGTTAGAGTTCTTGATTTTTGCCATTCTAACTGGAGTGAGGTGGTATCTCAATGTTGTTTTGATTTGCATTTCTTTTATGGCTAGGGATGTTGAGCATTTCTTCATGTGTGTATTGGCCATCCTTCTTTCTTCTTCAGAGAAGTTTCTCTTTAAGTCTTTTGCCCACTTATTTATTGGGTAGTTGTTTTTTTGAGGATTTGTTGTTGGGAGATTTAATTTTTTGAGTTCCAAGTATATTTTAGATATGAGACCCTTGTCTGTTGTATGGCTAGTGAAGATCTTCTCCCAATCCGTGGGCTTTCTATTGATCTTGCTAGCTATGTCCTTTGCCATGCAGAAGCTCTTCAACTTCATGCAGTCCCATTTGTCCAACCTTTCTTTGATTTGTTGTGTTTCTGGGTCTCTATTCAGAAAATTTCGGCCTGAGCCAAGGAGACCTAGGGTTTCTCCTATTCCATCCTGTAATATTTTCAGAGTTTCTGCTTTGACTTCGAGGTCTTTGATCCATTTGGAGTTGATTCTGGTGCAGGGTGATATATAAGGATCTAGCTTTAGTTAGATTAACCAATTTTGCCAGCACCATTTACTGAAGAGGCTGTCTTTCTTCCATTCTATTGTTTTAGCTTCCTTATCGAAGATTAGATGGCTATAGGTCTGTAGGTTCATTTCTGGGTTTTCAATTGTATTCCATTGGTCCTGAGGTCTGTTCTTATGCCAATACCAAGCTGTTTTGATTACTATGGCTTTATAGTAGAGTTTGAAATTTGGTATTGATACAGAGGAATATTTTTTAAAGTAGAGGTGGACCTCTTGGCATTCTCTTCGACATAGGTGCCCTCTATAAACTCCCCATCTTTAGGTTTTGTCTGTCTCAGCTCTCAGTGTCTGGCTCTTCTGGCTTCTTTTTCCATGGCTCAGAAATATCTCTCCAGTACCTGTCCTCAGAGCCCATGAATTCATTTTTCAGTTACAGAGATGCTAATAGGAGATAGGCAAGTCTACTCTTCAAATAATATTTACTTACATGCACACACTTAAATAAGGTGACCTTTAAAAGACTTTGAAATAAGATTATTAGTACACTAGTAATCCCAAAATATACCCATGCTCTGCTATTTTTTTATTTAATTTTTTAAAAGCCCAATCTGCTATTTCTTGAACAATCAGAGGTGTATTTTAATTCCATCTTGGAAAAACCCATAAAGATCACATATGCCACACATACCAGTGTATACGTGTAGATATTTTATCCATGTTTATAATAAGATATAGTGGAATAAAGGCTATATAATTCAAACTTGGGCAGCCTGAGTTTAAATCCTTGCTCTACCACTATGCAGTGTTGATCAAGTTACTTACCTTTCTGAGCCTCAGTCTTCTTATTTCTAAAAGAAGTCTAAATAAAATACTCAAAGGAAATTTGTGAAGGTAAGATTGGTTATGGTGCCGGGCATCAGTGTCTCACGCCTCTCAGGAGGCTGAGATCTGAGGATCACGGTTCAAAGCCAGCCTGGGCAGGAAAGTCCGAGAGACTCTTATCTCCAATAAACTACTAGAAAACTGGAAGAGGCGCTGTGGCTCAAGCAGTAGAGTGCTCACCTTGAGCTGAAGAGCACAGGGACACTGCCTAGGCCCAGAGTTCAAGCCCCATGACCGGAAAAAAAAAAAAAAAAAGATTGGTTATGGTAGGTAAAAGTACTTGAAATAATTTTTAGTATACTATAAGCCCTCCATGTACTGAATTTGGTGGAATACCATATTTTTATTTTATATTTTGATCTTCTGGGCATATTTTAACATCTCTGAACTTAAGCATCTTGTAATGGATGGCCTGTCAGCGTTCAAAGGGTATCATTTTCCTTTTAATTTTTTTTTGTCAGTCATGAGGTTTGAACATTAGGCCTGGCTGCCATTCCTGAGCTCTCTTTGCTCAAGGCTAATGCTCTGCCATTTTGAGCCATAGCGCCACTTTTGGTTTATCTGGTGTTCAATTGGAGATAAGAGTCTCACAGACCAAAAAAAAAAAAAGTCTCACAGACTTTCCTACCTAAGCTGGCTGTGAACTGTGATCCTAATATCTCAGCTTCCTGAGTAGCTAGGATTACAGGCATGATCCACTAGCGCCTGGCCCATTTTCCTTTTCAGTGGTACCTAACATAATGTGTGCTTTATAATTAAGAATATCAGATCTAAGATGAAGTCTCACATGGGTATTAGTCTCACTTTCTGAGACAATGAATATTACTGAGGACAGGATCATCTTCTAACCTTACACCCACCTGAGCAGATTTCCTTTAATACTTAAATGCAAAAACCAAGCTGAGCATTGTGGTGAACACCTGTAATCCCAGCTCTTGGGAAGCAGAGAAAGGAGGGTTTTGAGTTTGAAGCCAGCCTGAGGGCTATGTAGTGAGTCCAAAGCTAGCTCTACAAGGCCAGCGAGACCCTGTCTCAAAACAAAACAAAAAAAAAAACCAAAGCCAGACTATACCCTTTTCTTTGTATTTCTTCTGCTAGAGGAGAGAGAGTAAGAGTAGGAAAATAGCACACTGCCTCAGGCACCTGCTGTTCATGAACATGGCATCTCCGTGCCAGTGGCTCACACCTATAACACTAGCTACTTAGGAGGCTGAAATCCTGAGGATCACAGTTCAAAGCCAGCCTGGACAGAAAAATCTGTAAGATTCCATCTCCAAAATTATCCAGCAGAAAGGCAAGCTGGAGGCCTGGCTCAAGTGGTAAGAGTGCCAGCTGCACAAACGAGCTGAGTGAGTGGAAGGCCCTGAGTTGAAGCCCCAAGAGCACCACAAAAGGGAAACACACAAACACAACACAACCTAAACTGCGCAACACAGTCAACTCCAGTGTCCTTTCCTCCAAGGAAGGACAGCGTGCCAGGACTTCTCAGCCTCCCAGTCCCTGCGGTATGCCACGCTTTGGGCTCCCGATTGCTCATGTATAACCATGTCTCTGCTCCTATCTAGTGAGAAAACTTTGTTTCTCTCATTCACTTTGTGTTGAATTCGTGCTGTGGCATTTTTTAAAATTATTATTTTATTTTTTATTATTATGAAAATACCGTACAGAGGGGTTATAATTACACGGGCAAGATAATGAGTACATTTCTTATCAAGCATTGTTGCCTCCTCCTTTGTTTCTCCTTCCTGTCCCTTCCCATTTCCCCCCCCATCTCCCCCCCATCTCCTGCCCCACCTCTCCCCCCCCATGTCCCTCCCCCTGCCAAAGTTGTAAAGTTCGTTTTTCAACATAACAACTTGTACATCTCATTGTTGCAATGGGTCCACCTGTATCCCTATTTAAACGATTTGTTTTTTCCCTTCCCCACCACAAATTATACCAACATCAAATACAGTGAAAGCAGGGGTTATACCTTGGGGGAGGGACATACAAAGCAACAAAAAAAATCATAAATATGTTAGAAACAATCGCATGAAAGAAAAAACATTTGAATACTTATCTTGAGGTTCATTTCACCTAACATCAACATATCTGACCTTTTCTGCTTGTCTCAGACATATACTAGTTATTGCAAATAAGGGAAACCATGGGACCTATGTTTCTTTGCTTCTGGCTTACTTCACTTAATAGAATTTTTTTCAAGCCTTTCTATTTCCTAACAAATGGGGCAATGTCATTCTTTCTGATGGAGGCATAGAATTCCATTGTGTATAGATACCACATTTTCTTGATCCACTCATCTACTGAGGGGCATCTGGGTTGGTTCCATATCTTAGCTATGGTAAATAATGCTGCAATAAACATAATCATGCTGGTAGCTTTAGTGTGGTCTTGCTTGTGAACATTTGGGTAAATGCCCAAAAGTGGGAGCTCTATGTGGAGTCTTTTGAGGAACCTCCATACTGCTTTCCAAAGTGGTTGAACAAGTTTACACTCCCACCAGCAATGCAGTAAGGTTCCCTTCTGTCCACATCCCCTCCAGAGTTAGAGTTCTTGATTTTTGCCGTTCTAACTGGGGTGAGGTGATATCTCAATGCTGTTTTGATTTGCATTTCTTTTATGGCTAGGGATGTTGAACATTTCTTCATGTGTCTATTGGCCATCCTTCTTTCCTCTTCAGAGAAGTTTCTTTTTAAGTCTTTAGCCCACTTATTTATTGGGCATTTATTGAAGATTTGTTGTTGGGGGATTTAATTGTTTGAGTTCCAGGTATATTTTAGATATGAGACCCTTGTCCATTATATGGCTAGTGAAGATCTTCTCCCAATCCGTGGGCTTTCTATTGATCTTGCTAGCTATGTCCTTTGCCATGCAGAAGCTCTACAATTTCATGCAATCCCATTTATCCAACCTTTCTTTGATTTGTTGTGTTTCTGGGTCTCTATGAAGAAAATTTCAGCCTGAGCCAAGGAGACCTAGGGGTTTCTCCTATTCCATCCTGTAATGTTTTCTGTTTGTTTTAACTCCAAGGTCTTTGATCCATTTGGAGTTGATTCTGGTGCAGGGTGATATATAAGGATCTCGTGCTCTGGTATTTTCTAGGCAGGTACTCTGCCCATTGAACCATGTCTCCAGCATTTTTTTGCTTTTAGTTGTTTTTCTGAGTTAGCTGTTTTATTCAGGCTTTTTGCTTGAACTGGCCTTGGATCTTAATCCTCTACTTTCCACCTCATAAGTAACTGGAAATATAGGTACAGCACCACTATACTCAGCCCTTGCTCATTCACTCCATGTACTGGGCACAAGTCTGAAGCAGTTTGTTGGAAACTGAGCAGAGGTGCAGCCGGCATTTAATGAGTATGGGAAAGAGTTCTTGATACGCCCCGCCCCCCCCATCAGCCTTCTTCTACTCTGGACCCATTAACCCACCCAGAAAGTCCCCCCTCCCTTTTTCTGTGCACCCTCTAACCCCTGACTCTCCTGTCTCCAGCATCCAGGCTGAACAACATTACGACGGACCTTCTTGCCCAGGTGCAGGACGAGTGTTGGAAACGCAGTAAGCAACTAATGTCCGAGCTCAGCATCTTCATGAAAGTCTTCCAGACCATCAGCTCAGACATTCACACCATTGCACGATGCTCCCAGAAGGTGGGTTCTCCCCGCCCAGCCTCCACAGCTTACCCAGGGCCCACCCTGTCCAGAGGCTCAGTACACTTGGTTCCCATCTCCCTTGAACTTCAATGAGGCTTGGTGCTCTTAAAACCCTGTTCACACGTCAAACTGCACTTGAGAAGTCTTGCCTTGTTCACACGGCCCTGGGTTTCCTCATGTCAGGAGGCTGCACTAATGAGAGAGGCAGTCTCACTTTAAGAGATATGATTCTTCTCTCTGTGCCAATCAGATAGGGCTATGATGACCTATCAGGGTGACAGCTGGTGGGAGACACCAAAACTGCTTTCATAGATCTTGGTCAGAAGAGCTCTGATCCCAGATTGCCACTGATCCCAGTTGGTTAAGAGGTTGTGATTGGGTGTGGAGCCTCCCCTTGGGGGTGGGTCAAAAGGGATGGGCAGAGTTGTGGGGGTGCTGGTGTCTCACATTGTAACCCCTGCAGTTGAACGAAGCCAGTGAACAGTACAACCAGCTGGAAGCACGAACAGAATACATCCGGTCTCTCCATGAACTCATCCGCAACCACTTTAATGTATTCAGCAGTGAGAATGAGGCACTGGACATCTCGGTGAGAGGATAGGTCACGATGTCTCCCACCCTCTTTGTTCCCCCTCTTCCCCAAGCCACATATACTCATGACCCTATGATTTCTCCTCCTCTGCCAGCTTCTAGATATGTGGGAGACATTTCAGTTTGAGAAGAGCCAGGCCTCTGAGTTCCTGCTGAGCAAGCAGCATTCCATCCTGCCTAAGCTGCAACAGCTGATGGCAGCAGCACTGGCCGAGCTGGAAAGCCTGCTTGACAAGGCCCTGACCGGTCCCTTCATGGACCCGACACAAGCTCAGAGGAAAACTGAGCTACAGCTCATCTCTCTGGAGCATCAATATGAGAAAACCAGCAGATACTTCAAAGAACTCCACTATACCTACACTGCATTGACTGGTAAAAATGGCCGCCCACTCCCTCTACTGTGGCCCTGTCATAGTCTCCAACTGGGATAAAGATTGGGACTCAGGCTCCATTGTCCCCTGTCACCCTAAGTAGGCCTCAGGAATCACATGGCTCCACTGATTGCTGGATAAGCTGGGAATGCTGACACACTGTTGTAATTCCAGCAATATGGAGATCAGAGGATTGTGGTCTGAGGCCAGCTGTGTAAATTCGTGGATCCTATCCCAAGCCAAGCATTGTGACGCAAGTGTTACAGCACCTGCTTAGCAAATGTGAGGGTTTGAATGTAAACCCTGGTACCACAGACCCTCGACCCCTAAACCGAAAAACAAGCCATGCATGATGGTGCATACCTGTGTCCCAGCCATAGGGGAGGTAGAAGTAGGAGGATCATGATCTGAGGTCAGCTCTGGGCAAACAAGACCTTATCTAAAAATAGCTAAAGAGAAAAGGTTGAGCATATGACAAATCGTAGAGCACTAGTATCTCAAAAGCAAAAAGTCATATGTATGTTTGTGTGTATGTGTGTGTACATCAGAACAAAACCTTCATATATTGCATATTTCAGATATTATATTAAGGGTAGGGATACAAGGGGTTCATGGTGGGGAAAACAAATAAATGAATTTGAATGTTTTGTTCAGATGTGATGGGGTCAGGGGCTAAAATCCCATGTAGGGGAACTGTGTGTCTTCATTATAGACTTAGCCCTTGTGTACTCACAGTGGTCCTGTTCCAAGCAGCAAGCCCCAGATAAGAACAGGTGTGGATATTGTCTCTGTCCAACATAATGCAGTATTTGAAAGAACACGCATATGTGTGGTATGCCGCTGCAGGCTTCTGTGCCTCTATCCTTGCTTTTTTGATCATTTTTTGGATGAAATCTAGCAAATATTTCTGCCCAGGCAGGCTCCTATTGTGATCCTGTGATCTCAGCCTTCTACACGTAGGAGTACAGTTGTGAGGCCCTGACATGCAGCCTGAGAATGACCATCTTACAGCAATAACCTTGACTGTTATTTGATATCTTTTAAGTACATTAGAAAAGCAACTCACTGTAAATTAAGTGTATACTACTCTAGAATTGTTATTGATGACCAATTATTTCAGGCATATATCTCCACACTGGTTGTAAAATGATTGGCTAAGCGCTAACGTAGAAGCCTGTGAGATGAAACACACTGCCCTATCATTTACTCTTACATGAGCCACAGCTTGTTATTTTTTTTTTCATTTTTATCTGTCTACACATCCCTTGGGCTGCATTCATTTGTTTTTTTTTTAAATATATATATTGTTGTTGTTGTTTGTTTTTTTTGGGTCCAGTCGTGGGGCTTGAACTCTGGGCCTGGGCGCTGTCCTTCAGCTCTTCAGCTCAAGGCTAGCACTCTACCACTTTGAGCCAAAGCGCCACTTCCGGCTTTTTTCTTATGTGGTGCTGAGGAATCGAACCCAGGGCCTCATGCATGCAAGGCAAGTGCTCTACCACCGAGCCACCTTCCCAGCCCCTAATATATATATTGTTATTGTAAAGATCCTTTACAGAGGGGTTACAATTACATGAGTAAGGTAAAGAGAATATTTCCTATCAAGCACTGTCACCCCCTCCTTTGTTTTTCCCCTACCATCCCTTCCCTCCCAACCTCCCCAACTCCTCCCTCCCTGCCCCCCAAAGTTGTAAAGTTTGTTTTCAACGTAGTGTCTTGTACATCTCTTTCCTACCATGGGTTGCGTTCATTGTTTATTCATCCATTTGATATATCTGTTGAGAGTGCTTGCTCTGTTAGTAGGTTTGAGGTACATCAATGAGCAAACAGAAAAACTTCTGTTGTATCTGATACTCTCACTTAGGAAGAAAGACAATAAATAATAAACTAAATTAGGTAGTATCTTAGATGGTGGTCTAGAAAAAAGCTAGATAGGTGGATAACAATGTTTTTCTTTTTTTGGTCAGGAGGTTTGAACTCAGGGCCTGGGCACTGTCCCTAATCAAAGGCCTTAACCGGATGGGCAAAGGCATAGGACAATGGTGCTTCTGTGCCGCAGTCGAGAGACAGAGGGGACCCTTCCCTTTCCGTGCCACCATATTTCCCCAGACATTCTCTCCCCAGAATAATTGCCTTTTGGATGGGCTCTGCTAGCATTGCTGTTGAGCTCAGTAGTTTACACACATATATACTCCCCTGCTTCCCCCAATCATCATCATCAGCAGCAGCAGCAGCACTGTCTGGGCCCTCTCTTCTGTCATGGGGTCCTGACAGAGCATTCTCCAAATGGCCTGGGTCTTAGCCAGCCCTATCCCACAGGGGAAGACTGTGGTATGTCTTTGCCCATCCTCGGAACCCACCCCATAGTGATGCAGCAGCGCATCTGGCACCTCTACGGAGTCATCTCTGAGAACCTCAGCGAGTGGAAGTGCATGGCTTTTCTTAAGGTGCCCACACTCCTCCTGGGAGCTGTACTGGGGGCGGGGGAGGCTTGCAGGTGTGGGGGTCAGGGAGGGTCTTGGACTGACAGTGAGCCCTTCCACCTGCAGTTCAACCTGTCCATGGCCCAGGAGAAGACTGATGCCTGGCTGACAGAGGCAGCGCGCCTGAGCGCGACCCTGGGGACGCACAGCCCAGTGTTGCAGCGCTGCATGCGCATGCTCGAGGAGTTTCGCAGCTGTCTGCCCTTGCTCACCAAGCTCAGCAGCCTCAACCCTCAGAGCCTTAGCTGCCAGGCCCTCTTCCGAGGTGTGTTTGGGTAGAGTCAGGGGAGGGGGGAGGGCAGGAATGGGTTTAGGAGCAATCCATGAGGCAGGCAGTTCCCTGCTTCTGCTGGAAACCCTCTTCACTTGTTTCCCATTTTTGCCCATATTCTTCCTCCCTCCCTCCCTCCCTCCCTCCCTCCTTCCCTCCCTTCCTCCCTTCCTCCCTTCTTCCTTCCTCTCTACACCCCTCTCTCCCCTTCCTCCCTCTCTCCCATCCTTCCTTTCTTCCTTTCTTTGTTGTGCTAGTACTGGGCTTGAACTCAGGGCCTGCCTGGGCACTGTCCCTTACTTAGCCTTTTTTCCTCTAGGCTAGAGCCCTACCACTTGAGCCACAGCTCCACTTTCAGGTTTTATTGGTTAATTAAGAGTCTCATGGACTTTTCTTGCCTAGACTGGCTTCACACTTTGATCCTCAGATTTCCTCCTATGTTGCTAGGATGACAGGGGCCTCCTGGCTCCCATATATCTTAAACTCCTTTCCCCTACAGAGACAAAAGAGAATTCTAACCTTCCTCATTACCATGACAAATCCTTGCTGCTGATAGGATATGGGCTGAGGCTGGGGTCTTAACCCTGGACCTTAACTTCTGAGTTTCTGGCTCTAGGTTATATTCTGAGATCAGTTGGAGCTGCCCTCTTGGTTCTTGGCTTAAGGTGGCACTGAGCTGTGGAATATATCCTGGATTTTGTCACGTTCTGGATACTGGTGTGACTTACTCTCTTCTACCTCCAGCCTTAGGGTTAGGCATTATCCGCAATATGGACCTCCTGACACTGGGCCAGCTGCTCTTGTGTCCACTGCTGGAATTCTCAGGTCGAATCAAACAGGTAGGGTCCACAGGAAGGGAGGGAAGTGGGTGGTCCAAGCTAGTAATAAAACCCATCACAGTCCTTGATTGCTGATTTGCCTAGAGATTAGGAAAACTGCCCCAAATATCCAGATGAGAATCGGCTGGTCTTTCTAAGTTCTAGACCCTATGTGACTAAAGGTAACCTCTACCCCTGGTGGGGCAGAGAGGAAGAGGGTAGCAGCTTCAAAGTGATGAACACACAGAATAGCAGATGTTCCTCAACGTTTAACTTTCCTAAGGAGCACCAGTTGCTTGAGGTGTCTGCTCAGTGGGCCCAGTAATGGCCATCATTGATGCCTGATGGTCCCATTCTCCTTCCATCTCTGAGACCATCACCACCCTGAGACCTGGCCCTTGAGCTGCGCCTCAGCCCCACTACTCAAATCCTAGCTCCAACCATCCTCAGAGCCATCAAGCCAGCTCTGGTTTCTGAAACACGGCCGTTCCAGGTCTGGCAGCATGAAAAAGAACAAATGCACGCCCAAGAGATCCTCCAGCAGCTGCAGCAGTACTGGGAGACACGCCAGCTGCGTCTGCTCAACTTCATCTTGAATGTGCCCTATGAGCCCCCAGCCTCAGAGCGTTCCAAGAAGAAGCTCTTCGAAAGCCCACAGTGGGAGGTGATGGGCAAGGATAGCGGCACCTTTATCCTATCAGGTGAGATTCAACCCTTGTGACACAGTGAATGCCTTTGGCTGGGTACCACTTTCATCCACCAAGCTTTGTCACATCTAATCTTTTTAGCCAGAACTCCATCTGATAGTTCTGATAGCTCCCCCCTACCCCCCGCCCACACACACCATTTTTCTTTCCTGCCTGATGCCTGGCTCTTTCAGCAAAGGTTCAGCCTTTGGAGTGTGCTCAGAAATTCTACAGGGTAATTTCTCTTCACCTTTCAATGCTCTTGTCCTCTGGATTCTACCCTGCTGTCTAATTTTATGGCATACCCACTCATTTCTTCTTTTATTCCTTCCCCCATTAAATTTGCCAGTTTCCTCTGCGCCAAAGGCAAAGACCCTGAGACTTAGATAGAATCCACCACTTAGAAAATCCCAGGCCAGTCAGGCACAGACAATAACATACAGATGAGTGCCCAATGGAAGCACTTACTGGGAACAGTAAAATCTCAGAGAGGAGATCAGCTCAAAGGATCAAGGAGAATCAGGGGCTGGGAATGTGGCTTTGTGGTAGAATGCTTGCCTAGCATACATAAAGCCCTGGGTTCAGTTCCTCAGTACCACTTAAACAGGAAAAGCCAGAGGGGGCGCTGTGGCTCAAGTGGTAGAGAGCTAGCCTTGAGCAAAAGAAGCTCAGGGACAGTGCCTAGGCCCTGAGTTCAAGCCCCAGGACTGGCAAGAAAAAAAAAAGGCGAATCAGAGGAGCAACTGACTTTTGAAAGATTAGGAGTTTGCCAGATAAAGAACATAAAAGCTGGTACAGTCAGCGAATTTCCAGTACAAGAGAAATTCTTTTATCTAACATAATTGAAACCCAATCAGTGAGTCCAAATGTTAGTAAATAGTAATAAAAATGATGTATTCAACCAGGCACTAGTGGCTCACATCTGTTATCCTAGTTATTTATGAAATATGGGAGGCTAAGATCAGGAGAAACATAACTCTAAGCTAGCCCAGGCATAAAAGTCCACAAGATGTCACCAGAACACAAGTGTTGCATGGTGGCACTTGGCTGTCTCCATCCAACTACAGTGGGAAGTTTAAAATAGGGGGATCACAGTTGGGGTGCATTCTCAGGCAGGAAGCAAGACCCTAGTCTCAAAAAATTACTAGCACAGAAAAGGGCTGGAAGTATAATACGTTAGTGGTAGAGCTATTGCCAAGCAAGTATAAAGTCCTGAGTTCCAACCCCAATACTACCAAAAAAAAAAGAAAGATGTATTTGTTATATTTTTATTTTAGCTTTAAACACACACACACACACACACACACACACACTCATATGCATATTACTTTTTGTCCTAAAACAATGAGAGCTTTGCTTTCACTTGAGGCCCATTAGTTGCTCCACACTACTTTTCTTGAAGTAATTCATTGTTTTCTATTTTCCATTCATTCAAGTTCATTCATTCATTCTTTTCTATTTTCTGTTTTTGCTTTCATTTGAGTAAGGTTGGGAAGCAAGTTGACTACACAAAGTTAGCTGAGTCCAAAACTATTCTAATTTTTTGTTGTTGTTGGTTGTGGGGCTTGAACTCTGGCCTGGGTGTGTTCCTCAGCTCTTCAGCTCAAGGACAGCACTCTACCACTTGAGCCATGGTGCCACTACCAGTTTTCTAGTGGTTTATTGGAGATAAGGGTCTCACACACTTTCCTGCGCAGGCTGGCTTTGAGCCACGATCCTCAGATCTCAGACTTCTGAGTAGCTAGGATTACAGGTGTGAACCACCGAGCGCCTGGCACTATTCTAAATTTATTTTTTTGGGGGGGTCCGGTCATGGGGCCTGAACTCTGGGCCTGGGCGCTGTCCCTCAGCTCTTCAGCTCAAGGCTAGCACTCTACCACTTGAGCCACAGCGCCACTTCCAGCTTTTTTCTTTTTGCTTATGTGGTGCTGAGGAATCGAACCCAGGGCCTCAGGCATGCAAGGCAAGTGCTCTACCACTGAGCCACCTTCCCAGCCCACTATTCTAATTTTTTTATTACAACTTCCCCACTTAATAAGACTGGATTGTCTATATGTAGTAACAGTCTTTACTGAACCCTTCTATCATTTCCACAGACATAACAACTCTTTTCCTACCCATATTAAAAATGTATCATTCAAAGTACGATATAACTTTCACAAATAGCTGTGAAATCACAATCTGTCCCTTGGCAAGAAGACAGTTTAGTGGATGCAAAAATGTTTTGGATCTTGTAAAGAATAGTTTGGGATTTGTAAATTTCAGTTTAATTCTTAGGATTTAAATCTGAAGTATTCTCATAGGCTCTTGTATTAGAGATTTGGTTGCCAGCTGATGAGTTTTGGGAAGTGATTGAATCCTGGTGGCTTGACCTAATCAATGGATTAATCCTTACATGGATCCATAATAGGATGCCACTTTGGGGAGATGGTGAAAAGTAAGAGATGGCTCCCAGTTGAAGAAAGTAGATCCATGAGTCCATATTCTTGGGCTCTATCTTGCTATGGTCCCTTTTCTTTACTTCCTTGCCACCATGGTGCATTCTGTTCTGATCCATCATTCCCTCTCTGCCACGATGGTCTGAAACCTCTGAAAACATGAGCTCAAAATAAAATTTCCCCTCTTAAGTTGTATATGTCATGTGTTCTGACCCAGTCTGACTAACACAGTCAGTATATTTTTATAATAAGAGAAGAGAATGCTCATGAAAGAGCATCTAATTCACCAGAGTTGCAGCCCAAAGAGTACTGGAAGAGGAAATAGGACATATGCTATCTTATAGGTCATGTTAAGAATTAACTCAGTAACACATAAAAGGGAAAGGGAAATGTTCAGATTTTAGTTTAATATGGAGAATAAGCTAAAGGGAGGCAAAGAATGAAGGTTGGAGGGTCAAACTAGAAATGACTGTAACGCAATTGAAAACCAATAGTGGCCTAGTTTAGTGTGGCACAAAGAAAAGTAAATGGACTGATGCTCTGCATAAGTCCAACTGGGAAAAATGAAATGATCTGACTTTGACATGGAACAGAGTATATGACTTCTCAACGTTAATTTGGATGGTTTTCATCACTCAAACTCTTTATCCATGTCACCTCTCCTTGTCTAATGTTTGGCTAGGAATGTCTTCTTCAGGTATTTGTTCACATCTGGACTCCTTGTTCATATCTGTCTTATTAAGGACTCCTAGGTTTTGGTGTTGACTAATAAATACTAAGACTGGGTTTCACAGTGAATGCTTGCACTAAGACTCAAAAGGACATCCTCTTTCATTTTTCACATGAGTATATTTTACACTGATCTTTTTGCCCAGTTTTGATCCTGATTCTCCAGCTTTGCAGATCTGCTTCTACTTGGTCTCCACTACTGTATTATCTATAGATAATTTGGCTACTAGAAGTAAAGAACAAAGAATCATAGTACAGAGTACAGGCTCTGGATTGTGTTGCCTTGATCTGTCTCTGAGTTCAGACATCAGGCTGGGTAGACTGAGTCCTCCCAATCTTTACTTAAGCTTATAGCTTTTCCCCATTTTTGCTCCAAGTTTTTCCTTCTATCTCTAGGCTTCCATTTGCACCAAACACTTCATGCGGCTGGTTTCTCTCCCCATACCTTCTCTCCCTTCTGTGTGCCAGGCTTCCTTTTCCTTAGATATGTTGGTCAAGGACCAAGTTTTATGGTGTCCTCACATCACAAAGATAACAATTTCATTCACCCAAAATGAGCCCAAGATGATAGAAACTATGTATTTAACTCTTATCCCAGGAAGGCAGATTGTTTCAGGATTAGGGATCCGTACTTCTCTCTTTAGATTCTTAACAAAATGAGAACAAGAACACGCGTGAAAAGGGAAGCCCAACTATGTGTTTTGTATATAACCTGCTGTTAGCCATAGCTTGTATCCTGATTGAGACTTAATACAACCTATGCATAGCCTTCCCCAAATCATTCTCTCAAGGAGTTGTATGGATTGTGGTCGGCTTCACATCCCTTAGAGTACAAGAGATGGGCCTTTTTGCTTCTTCACATGAGGAGGACCATGTAAATATTTACAGTGTAAAGGGACAGACAGAGATGCTTAAAAATTCCAGTACTTTTTTTATTAGTAGAGCAGCAACTATTTTTCTGTGGACGCTAGATACAGAGCATTTTTCTCTCCAACAGAGAGTTTTGGGAGAATCTTAATCTGTCAGGACTGGTCTCTCTCAATTCTCCAATATTCCCACTCTACTTACTTTCTCCACTTAACTCCCAGCACTAATCTCATATAGAATGTTGAGATGACTCTTTAAACAGCACCAGAAAGCCAAATGATGATATCGTAAGAGAAAATTTTGGTCTTTGATTTTCCACCAGGGTTCTCTTTCATCCCTGAATGGGCACTCTTGCCATAGAAATATTATGTAGAGTTTTAAACCCATTAAAGCCCTCTTCCCAGGATGAAGGCTCTATTTCTCCAAAGGAATTTTGTGAAATTTGATGAGTACTGATAATGTCTAGCCAGGGAAATCAACTGGTTGGGAGTCTGCCCACAGTACCTGGAGGAAGTTTTTTTCCTACTATTTAAGACCCTAGTGTTCCACTGAATCTACTGTTGGCCGATGAAGTCCTTGAAGATAGAAGGGGTGTCAAGATCCCTGTAATTGCCTCCCATAAAAGGTCACACTAGTCTACCCTTTTCCTGCTCCATATGAAATAACAGCTCAACTAAGCTGTGACTGACAGCTCAACTAAGTTGTAACTAATAGCTCAGCTTTTTCTTCCTCAGACTACAACAATCTACAAGACTCAATCCAGGATAGTCTTCAGACATTGTTCAAGATGCGGGCTATCCACAGGACAGGAGACTTACACAGAACAGCTTTGGAGTGGGTGACCATCATGCATAGCCTGAGTGAGCACAGGCCTGTAGATGGGTTGTTGGGTGGGACCTGAGCTGGGAGGGTTCCAAGGGATGGGAAAGAGAGGGATAGAAGGATAGAATGAGGACCTCCTTCTGAGCTACCTCTTCTTTTTTCTTTTTTGCCAGTCCTTGGGCTTGAACTCAGGGTCTAGGCACTGTCCCTAAGCTTCTTTTTGCTCAAGGCGAGCGTACTACCACTTGCGCCACGGTGCCACTTCGAGCTTTTTCTGTGCATGTGGTACTGAGGAGTTGAACCCCAGGGCTTCATGCATGCAAGGCAAACACTCGACCACTGAGCCACATTCCCATCCTGCTATTTCTTTGTATAAAGTGACTAGATCTTTATTGACAGTGAAAGTAATAACTTCCCCTAATAAGGTTCCTGGGGTCTTTCGAGCAGAGAATTTCTATTGGGCTACTGGGGCAGACCCAAGAACTCAAGCTCCCTTGCAAAAGCAAGAACCTCAGTGTGTCATCTAGTATTGTTCCGGCTGCCCACACAGGTGCCCTGCTGGAGGCGTGGGTGACTTTCCAGCAGAAGTGGATTTTTCTGAATAAAGTTCTCCATGAGATGAAGATCCAGTTTCCTAATGCTGACCTGGTAGGAAGGGAGTTGCTCCAAGGTTGGACAAGGGCTCCTGAATCTCAGGGTTCAGTGCAGGAGGGGAAAGCTGCCACTTCCCTTTAGCCCTCACTTTTACCGTCTTCTTTGCCACAGCACGCTCGTTTCCAGGCCATAGATGATCAGTATCGGACCCTGATGCACATCTCCATAGCTGACCCCCTGGTGCTGTCACTCATAGTGCCCAGTGCCAAGAGGAGCCCTTATTTCCAGGGTCAGCAGTTACAACAGCTGCTGCAGTCAGGGGCGGTGGAGCTGGAAAGCATCATCATGGCTCTGGAGAGTGTGCTCTATGAGGTATGTGCTTGCTTCCCCCGCCTTTTCTTCCTCAGTAACAGCGAGCTGGTGGCCCTCCTGGCCACCCCTCTAGAACCGTATGAGGCCCAGCCATGGGTGCAGCGCTGCTTTCCTCATGTCTACACAGTAAGCTTCCAATCCCACCTAACGGATGAGAAAAATACTCATGACCACGACCAGGAGTCAATCCCAAGTAGAAAGACTCGAGTGGAGACATTTGCTGTGCGAGGGGCAGGTGGAGAGGCGGTGAAGCTGCAGGAGTCCTTACCCCTGTATCCAGATATCCCCAAGTGGCTAGCCACTCTGGAGAAATACCTGCGCTCCACACTGGTGTCCCTGCTACAGGACTGTGTCACCGCTCGCCTGGCTTTGAGCTCATTCCTGGTCTTTAAGAAACTGCCTCAGCAAAGAAGGTTGCCCCTGCAGCAACATGTTCATCATTGGTTAGATTTAGCCCAGGATTTCCCGTGGCAGTGTATACTGGTAGCAGAGGAAGTGGTGTGGCGGGCTGAGATGGAGGAGGCTCTGCTTGAATTAGGGGCCCTCGATGTGACTCCCATGCACATACACAAAGTCGAAGTCCTGGTGCAATTTATGAGAGTCCGGAGGGGCTCCCAGGGTAGAAAGACCTTCGTGCCCTCTGCCCGCCAGGCCAGCCTGCTCAGTGCCCTGCTGGTCATGGCAATAAGTCACCGGGATATCGCCCAGCTGTTAGAGAAGCACCAGGTCCGTGACCTGAAGGACTTCCACTGGGCTCGTCAACTCAAGTATCACCTGGGTTCTCCTCACCTGATTCCTGAAAGTCCACTGCAGAATCTTAAGACAGTGTTATCAACTGAGTCCTCTCTGTCACCAGCTGCATGCTGGGTCGATGTGCTGGGCCGGTCCATCGTATACAATTACGAGTATATGGGTCCCAGAGTAGAGCCTCTACCCAGCCTGCTACCTGAGCGCCCAGTGCTGAGTCTAATATTGGCCCTGGACCAGGTAGCCTGTGGGACACTACTGGGTTCTAATGGTGTAGGCAAGACAGAAATGGTAAACAGCTTGGCCCGGGCCCTGGGCCGCCAGCTGGTAATGATGCTCTGCTTGCCCCAGATAGAGGCCAGGTGTCTGAGCAGCTACCTGAATGGTGCCCTGCAGTGTGGTGCCTGGTTGCTTTTGGAGGCAGTTCATCATCTGCCTCCTGGCTTGCTCTCTGCCCTGGGCCAGCACCTGGCTGAACTGCAAAACCTCTATCGCCCTCTGTACCAACAGGCTTCCCGAAACATGGGCACCATAAGCCCTACTGAACCCCAGTTCCTTGGTAGTGGCCTCTTTGAGAAGCATCATGTGTCCATGCGCCTTGGCTATGGCTGTTTTCTGACCATGCGTGCCTTGAGCCCTGCTATACCCACCAACTTGCACCAGCTGCTGCGGCCCGTGGCATTGGCACTACCTGACCTTCAGCGAGTAGCAGAGCTGGCCCTGCTGGGTGCAGGGATGCGAGATGCTTCCCGCCTGGCTGCCCGCCTATCCAAATTCTTCTCCCTAGAGCAGGAGCTGGCATCTGGGCCCCTGCCCTGCCGCTTGCCCCTGCTCAAGCAGATACTGGAAGACGCAATCCAGATGCTCAATGAGCCCAAGGAGGAATTGGAGTCCCAGGGTAGACTCACTTCTGTGGAGGAGACTGTCCTACTGCGTGCCCTGCTGCACTCACCACTGTTCAGCATCCTTGACGAGCTCCACCTCCAAAACCTCCGCAAGCTGCTGTGTGGGGTCTTCCCAAATGCTAGCCACATGCTGGCAGAGCCTATGGCCCACAGGTTGATGAAGTCATTAATGATGGAGGAACTGCGGCAGGTGAGCTTGCTTCCCAGCCTTGAAATTCTGGGGTCCCTGGAGCAGCTCAGCCAGGCCCTGAGCCGTTCCTCAGGCGTCCTGCTCCTGGGTCCTGCAGGCAGTGGCAAGACTACTTGCTGGCGCAGCTTATTTAAGATCCACAATCGGCTGGCAGCCATGGAAAGCACTTCCACCCAGGGCTACCAACCTGTGGAAATTACTCACCTCTATCCTAGCACGCTCAACTCCCAGGAGTTCCTAGGATGGCTAGAGGGCCCCTGTTGGCACCATGGCATTTTCCCCAGGCTCCTTCGTGCAACCCCTCGGTGTAACAGTAAGGCAGCAAAAGAAGACAACCAAGAATGGATAGGAATCCAGCACTGGATCGTCTGTGATGGGGCCTCTAGTTCGGCGTGGCTGGACTCCATCACTTGCCTCCTGAGTAATCCTCCCCAGCTTAGCCTCCCCAATGGTCAGCAAATAGCACGACCACCAGGTACCTTCTTCTTGTTGGAGGTGGCAGATGCCACAGGTATGTCCCCCACAGTAGTCGGCCGGTGTGCCCTAGTCTGGTGTGGGGGGGGACAGACGTGGCAGTCTATGCTTAGCACCTTGATGACATCCCTGCCCCGTGACTACCGCTTGCAGCCTCCGACAATCACTGAGCTCAACCACATGGCTGAATTTCTGGTGCCTGCCACAGTCCGATTTCTTGCCCACAAAGGGACTGGCTCTCTGCTGCAGATACACGGGCAGCAGACTCTTTGTCCAGGTGTAGCTGAAGTTACCAGCCTGGCCCGCATCTTGCGTGGTCTGCTTGACTCTCACCTGCGCCTCTATGAAGAAAAGAGTGTATATGGCTCAGGTAGGAAAACGGAAGAGCTGGCCTGTTGAGAGACATGGGGGCCTGGGGGGATTGGGGAATGCCTGGAGCCAGAAGCATGGGTTCTGTAGTGCATGGGAACTGCAGAGGAAGTGAGGTAATATGGTCAACCTCTCCTCTCCTCTCCATATTCCACTTTTGTGTGTATGCCGGGACCCCCATCTGGCCTTGGTGACTGCTGCAGAGGACCACAGTGATAGAGATCCTATGGCCAAAAGTTTCCCGTCTTCAAAAAGCAGCTCCCTGAAACAATACCATGTTGAAAGCAATGAGACGTCGAATAAGCACAGGGAACATCTGCTGGCTATCAGCAGCTTTCTTTTTGCCCTGATCTGGGGCTTTGGAGCCCACCTTCCCTCCAGGTACCTACAGGGATGGGATTTTGGGTGATGCAGAGAGCTGGGGTTAACTTGCTCACAGGAGTTCAAACTCCAAGTTAACCTTACTATGCAGCTAGGGTATCACGTATGAGCGTGTTATTGATGGTTCTGTAATAACTGCGTGGCTGTTGCTGTGTGTCCATCTGAGCAGGCTTTGGCCCCTCTTTGATACCTTCATGAGGAGTTCTATTAGTTGCCTCACCAACTACCCTGAGCCACCACCCTCAGCTTCAGTGTTTGATCTACATGTAAACCCTGAAGATGGGACATTGGTCCCCTTCACTGGCCATTATCTGAGCAGCCGTGTCAAGGGAAATCTAGGATCCTTCCGCTCTTCTGACCAGGTATGAGGACAGTGGGGAAATAGCTGAGGTTGGGACTAAAGGGAGTAAGACCATGTTTAAGGCTGGACTGAGATCCATTTGCTCCCATTCTTTGATCACAAGAATACACGGCATATGATCTCTAAGAACAGCTTTGGGACAAGTCCCTTAGAAGTAGATTTTTATCTAGACAACTGTCCTATCCTGGAACTATCTCAGTGAAAGCTCTATTCCTGTTCCCCAGACCGAGCAGCTCTTATATATGGTAGACCTGCTTCTGTCCAAGGGGCAGCCCGTGCTGCTGGCTGGAGAGGCAGCCACAGGGAAGTCAGCCTTTGTGGAGGTCCTAGTGGTGCCAAACCACCCATGCATATCCAACTCCATCCACCCTGCCTTCGGTTCTGCCCATCTCCGCCAACTCCTGAGCAGGGGAGTCCAAGGACAGTCACAAGCCACCCCCTGGCCTGAGAATCAACAGGATTCTAAAGACTCCCTCCTTTTCCTGTTGGAGGATCTGCACCTGGCCACTTCTGGTGAGGAGCTGGGTGGAGGGAAGGAATCTCATCACTTAGTAATCTCATCTCCTGAGGTTACAAAATCTACAGCAATATTGATTGTCAAATATATGTATACAGCTCACAGAACTACAGTTTTCCTTTCTTAGTATCCTCTCATTCTTATTCTGCCAGCGGTCCCATCCACCCACACTCATGTCCTCATCTGTTACCGCTTTTTTTTTTTTCCTGGTAAATCTCTTTTCTCTATCCCACATTTAATTTCTAAGCACAGGTATGTTTACTCAACTATTTACTGCACATGTCTACAAAGCCATAATTTGATTCTTTGGAAAAGATAAAAATAAAAATGGACAAAGCCCTAGTAAGCTAATCAAGAAATAAAAAAGAAAACCTAAATTTTCCCCCCAAAAGAAAGAGATTTTAGTAAAGACATTTTTTAAAAGCGTAAGAGAATATTGCGGAAATTTTTATGCTAATAAACCCAGTAATTTGGATAAAAAGGAAATCTGTCTTGCAAAATGCAATTTTTCCAAGTCGGACTAAAGAAAAAAATAGAACAGAAGCCAGGACCAGTGGTTCATGCCTGTAATCCTAACTGCTCAGGAGGGAGGCTGAGATCTGAGGAGTGTGGTTCAAAGCCAGCCAGGCAGGAAAGTCCATGAGACACTTATCTCCTCATAAAAATCCAGAAGTGGGGCTGTGGTTCAAGTGGTAGAGTGCTATCCTTGAGCACACAAAGGCTTAGGGATAGTGCCCAGGCCCAAAGTTCAAGCCCTAGGACCAGAAAAAAACAAAACAAAACAAAAAAACCCACCAGAAATCACCTCCTATCTATTAAAAAAAAATTTTGGGGTGGGGGGGTTCTGGTCGTGGGACCTGAACTCTGGGCCTGGGCGCTGTCCCTCAGCTCTTCAGCTCAAGGCTAGCACTCTACCATCTGAGCCACAGCACCACTTCCGGCTTTTTTCTTTTTGCTTATGTGGTGCTGAGGAATCGAACCCAGGGCCTCATGCATGCAAGGCAAGCGCTCTGCCACTGAGCCACATTCCCAGCCCCTATCTATTAAAATTTTGAACTAATAATAAATGCTCCCAGTTACAGATGGATTTCACAGTTCCATTATATCCACACACGCAGTATTAGCACAGTATTTTTGTGGTACTGGAAACCCCAGTGTGCATATGGGCTCTCTGACAGAAGTATTTGTACTTTCCCCCTAATTGTCACCTGATCCACTTTCGAACTACGTCAGCTTCCAAATCTTACTACAGTGTTCATTTTCTTTTGGTTAACAAATAATTGACCACAGAGGTAGGATTTAGGGAAGAATGTTGGGGAATGTATGGAGAGCGAATGACTTGCTCAGATGTCACTCAGTCCTAACGCATCAGTAGCACAGACTTCCTTTGCAACTAGCAGGATGGGGCAGGACCAGAAGGAAAGGGGAGAGTCTCACGTGGATTTGCCCGCATCCTCCCTGTTCTTCATGTCCCACAGACCCAGAGAAGAGCTGCCAGCCAATTCTGGAGACTCTGCGCCAGGCCATGGATGGCACTGTGTATGCCCACAACACCTTGGAGCTGCAGACACTGCAGCCCACAGTCAACTTCCTTGCCACGGTTACAGTGCCAGCGTGCAGTGAGCGCCCGCTCTGCCCACGCCTCTTTCGGCTCTTCACAGTGCTAGCCCTAGGCAGCATGACCCTGACCACCATGTTGAGCAGACACGCACCAAACATCCAAGCCTGGCTTGAGCGCTTTCCCTCTATGGAGCGGGAAGGTGCTCTGGCAAGAGCTCTGGTTCGAGCTTCCATGGAGGCTTGGGAGGCTGTGAGCAATCACTTCATGCCTTCACCTCTCCACCCACACTACCATTTCTCCTTGCACTCTGTCAGCCAGCTTCTGGGAAGCCTACAGCTACTACCTACTAGAGTGAGCTCAGGGAGTCTTGTAGACTCTTACAACCATCAGGAGCATCTGCGCAGGGTGTCAGGCTTACGTGGCACTCGCCTGGCTGTTATGATGGTCACACGCAACATGGTGCGTCTTTGGTTGCACGAGGCACATAGAACTTTTTGTGACCGGCTGGACAGCCATAGGGAACGCACCTGCTGTTCCAAGATACTCCTAAAAATAGCTCAGGGAGTCTTTTGCTGTGAGATGAAATCCCAGCCCTTGAGAAGCGACCATACGGAAGAAGAAAAAGAGGAGAAAGAGGAGGACGAAGAGGAGGAGGAAAAGGAGGAGGAAGAGGAAGAGAAGGAAGAAGAGGAGAGGGTTCCCGAAGTGGAGTCTGAAGGGGAACTAGCCCAGTGGGAGGAGTTAAACAACAGCAACAGTGAAACAGATGACGAGGATCCTTACAGCCTTGAGGCCACCACAGGTGCACACCCTTCTGACCCAAGCCTCCTACCGTCCAAAACATTAACAGGCAAGGAAAGTATGGAAAGTAAAAGTCCCAAGACAAAGCAGGAGGCAGACACCAGAGCTTCTATCTATAAGCAGTCGAAGAAACAGAAGAGGTGGTGGAAAAAGATAAACCAGAAAGACTTGGTCTCACCCTTGTTGCTTCCAGTGCTGCTGCTCCGTCCCCGGGAAAATCCTTTAGACCTGGTCTTCAGTCAGAAATTGTTGATATCCAACTCCGAAACTCCCAACTTGTACCTGGAACGGGAGTGGGAGAGCCTGGAAGAGCAGCTGGCTGCGTCTGCTGCTCAGCTGAATCTGAACCCCCACCTCGCCCGCTGCCACACCTCAACCCAGCACGTGGCTCGTCTGGTCCGTGTGCTAGCCAGACCCCACCAGCATGGCTTACTGCTCTCAGGAGTTCTGGGTACCGGACGCCATACAGCCATCACCCTGGCTGCCAGCATTTGTCAGGCCCACCTCTTCTGCCTGCCGTCTGGGTCGGAGGAGGCCATTCTCCAGTGTCTACAAGACGCCAGCTGGCATGCCGGAATGTCAAACCAGCCAGTGGCACTGGTGGTACCCAAGAGTGTGAATATTACCACCCTCTATCGCCTGGTCGCTCTGGCCACCTCAGGCACTTTCCCTGACCAGTACACAGAGGCAGACCTGGATCACATTGAAGAGCGGGTCCCCAGGGAGAACCTGGGTCTCAAATACAACATTAAGAAAGAAGTCGTGTTGCAGAGGTAAGGTCCCGAAACCCGTCCCCCCAAGCCTTCTCTGCCATTACTCTGTCAAAAGGCCCAAATAAGTTATCTGAGTCACTGTGGAGGACTCAACAGGGTGAGGGCCAAAGGGGTTGGGGTCGGAAGTGGAAAGACGGATAGAGCAGCAAGACAGCAGCAGGAGCCCTTTGCCTGCCCACAGGTTCTTCCAGCAAGTGAGTCGTCACCTGCACATGTTTTTCCTGATTGAAGATGACCAGGTCCAAAAGCAGCTGCCCTCCACTCTTTTCCTGCGGCTTCTCCAACTGGCCACTGCCAGCATTGACCATTACGAGCCCTGGGACCAAGCTTCCCTGGTCAAGGTTGCTCAGTACTACCTGGAGAGTGCTAAAAGCCCACCCCCTGATGACAGTGAGCCATTGTCACTTGTTCTCACCAGGTTCTAGTCATTACTAGACCTGAATCTCTCTCCCTCCCTCTCTCTCTTCTCTCCCCCTTCCTCCCTTTCTCTTTTCTTCTCTCTCCTTGCACTCCCTTGAGATTTTTCTGCCCTCCTTCACGAGCTAGGAAAAAAGGCTCTTTTCATTCCCATTCCCCCCTGCAAGTCCACAAGTCCATATTAAAACCATGCTCCTTGCAGGCGCCTTGAAGTTCCTAGACCTCCAAACCTCAATTCCCAGCATGGCCAAAGCCATGGCTCTCATCCACCTTTCAACTGCCTACTACCATGAGCACCTGTGCCCTTCATTGCCACTGGTCACTCCCAATACCTTCCTAGACCTCCTGAACACCTTCATGCTACAGAAGCAAGAAATGACCCTGAAGATGAAGACTAGAGCCAACCGGTAAGTTGTCCCATTCCCTACAGCGTTCCTCCTCCTGTGCCCCGGAGTCAATTCACTGTGTCATCGCTTTCCAGGATTCATACTGCCGTGGAGAATCTGAGAACATTAGTTGACCAGCACAGCTTCCAGTCCAACCTGGTCTCGAACCTGGAACAGGAGCTAAAAGGCTCCCACAAGGTAAGAGGGAGAAGATTGTTAAGATGTGAGACAGTTGTGTCAAAGCAGAAAGCACAAAAGGGGATTTAAGAGGCACCAACCAGAGTGAGCCTTAGTTCTTATTTCTCAACAGTCTCCCTTTCCCCAGAGGAACTCTAACTCTTGCTGCCTCTTCCCTTCGATCTCAGGCTCAAAAGTTTCCCACAGTACAACTGAGACCAGATTGACTGTGGTCCTGATTCTACAACACTGACTATAAGCAGTTTAGTATACTCTCAAGATCTTTGGATTCCCATGATGAATGAGGAAGAGAATTACATTTTTTTTTTTTTTGTCAGTTGTGGGGCCTGAACTCTGGGCCTGGGCGCTGTCCCTCAGCTCTTCAGCTCAAGGCTAGCGCTCTACCACTTGTGCCACAGCGCCACTTCCAGCCTTTTCTGTTTATATGGTGTGGAGGAATTGCAAGTGAGGCAAGCACTCTACCACTGAGTCACCTTCCCAGCCTGATAATTACCTTTTTAGTACCACCTCTTTCTCTTAGTTCTTCCTTTGAAATCTCTATCCCTGCCAGTCGATTCACCTTTGGTAGCCACCTCCCCCTCCCCATATCATGTTGTCCTTATCAAATTTACAAGTCTGTTGTTTGCAGTAAGGAAATTGGATTAGAAATGGTGGTAGGTAGACATTTATACCTATACCAAAGAAACAACTGTATTTAAATAGTACACTAGACATAAATGTTCTCAGTTTCCTTAGTCGGTATTTCTCTCTCACTCCCTTCTCCCAATACCTGCTATCCCACTTTCCCATTAGAGCTCCTCCGATACAGTTCTCAGGAACAAGAGGGTTTTGTTGTTTCCTTTTGTTGTTGTTGTTGTTGGTTCCTAGGCTTGAACTCAGGGCCTGAGCATTGTTCCTAAGCTCTTTTGCTCAAGGTTAGCACTACCACTTTGGGCCACAGTGCCACTTAAGGTTTTCTGGTGGTAAACTGGAGATAAGCCTCTCATAAACTTTACTACTCAGGCTGGCTTCAAGCTGCAGTGCCTAGATCTCAGCCTCTTGGGAGTAGCTAGGATTACACGTGTGAGCCACCAGTGCCCAGCTCTTCTAAATGTTTTACATGTAAGAGCTCATGTAGCCAGGCACTGGTGGCTCATGCCTGTAATCCTAGCTACTCAGGAAAGCTTGGATTTGAGGATCATGGTTCAAAGACAGCCCAGGCAGGAAAGTCTAGGAGACTCTTTTTAACATATTTTTATTGTAAAGATACTGTACAGAGGGGTTACAGTTACATGAGTAAGGTAATGAGTACATTTCCTATCGAGCACTGTTATCCCCTCCTTTGTTTTCCCCCTACCATCCCTTCCCTCCCCACCTCCCCAAATCCTCCCTCCTCCCTCACAAAGTTGTAAAGTTCATTTTCAACATACTGTCTTGTACATCTATCTCATTGTTACAATGGGTCAACCTGTATCCTTGTTTCAGCATTTTATATTTCCCTTCCCCTCTCCAAGTTAGAAAAATGTATATTCAAGATGCAGGGCACTGGAATCAAATACTCTGGGAGACTCTTATCTCCAATTAACTACCAGAAAACCAGAAGTGACACTGTGGCTCAAAGTGGCAGAGTACCAGCCTTGAGCAAAAATGCTCAGGGACAGTGCCCAGACCCCAAGTTCAAGTCCCATGACTGACCAAAAAGAAGAAGAAGAAGGAGAAGGAGAAGGAGAAGAGGAGGAGGAGGAGGAGGAGGATGAAGGAGGAGGAGGAAGAGGAGGAGAACATTTAGAAGTGCTAGCATTTAGTACAGCCTCGATGTTCAGTTAGATCACCCCCTAACAAGAGGGCATAAGGCCCTGGCTCTCCTCATGGCTGTAACTTACTAGAAAATATAGATTCATCTAGGCAATTTCAAAACAGTGTGCTGTAACAGAGAAAGTCCACAGGGCTTTAGAAAAAGCACACTGCCCCAATATATAGCATAGCATGTGTAGAACATGGTAGGAGCTCAAAAATATTTATTAAAAATGTAAATGAATGAATGAAATACATCAGAGTTGGTGCTGCAGGTTCCGTACAATTAGACCAAGGGTAGAGTGAAGCGAGGAGGGAGGATATCCAAGGGTGAAGTAACTGTGCATGTAAAGGCCCAGAGAAGGCAAAACTGAAAGTCATATTCTAGGAGACAGAAGAAGATGGAGTGGTTAGAAAGAAAAGTAGGGGCCTGGACAAGGAAGCATTGTCAACCATATGTAGAAATGACCAGGGTTAAGAGACACGAGGATGATTAGACCCCAGTTGTAGGAAACCAATCAAGTGCAGGATGGGTTCAAGATCAGAAATAAGAGCAGCACTGGAGAAACTAGTTAGCAAGCCAGAACAGTTAAGGAGAGTGATCCTGAGTGTGAGCAGTAGGTGTTGGAGGCAGAAGTGTAGACACGAGAGACATGTTAGAGATAGAACTGAAAGCAAGATCTCAAAGACAAGCTGGGAACTGAGTCCAAGCGTAGCAACCCAGCTTGGTTTCTTCCTTGGGAAACTTGACTGTGCGTTGCCAGTTTTCTGAGGAAAAGAGGTCAAGGAGAATAAATAGGAAGATTGCTGGGGAGCTAAGGAGGCATAACCAACATCCTTTTGGGGGCATAGAGTCTGAAGAGGTCTGCCAAGCATCCAAGTGGAGATTTCTACTGAGCAGATGGCAATATTGTATAGGACTTGTGAGGGAATATGCATTTTGAACATTTTTTTCACATGTTAGTTCAATGTACTATGTTTACAATATATCAGTAAAGGAAAAGTCTGAGAACAGCCAGAGAAGTTGGAGAGTGCCCAAGGGAACACAGTATCATGAAGACCAAGAGAGGAGCTTCCTTCCAAAGAAAGGGACAGTCTTCTGAGACAACTTCTGCTCAAGAGTCTTAAGTAAAATAAGGAGCAGAGCACAATGGCTACACACACATGCTTTGGAGTCAGAATACCCAGTCCTGACTAACTTGGGCCTGTGCTACTGGGTGTCTAACCACTGACAGACCCCAGAGCTCCGGCTGTATCTGTTCAGCTTGGTTCCTCTATCAAGCACATGGTGTCTTCCCCCCCCCCCCACCCCGCCCCACCCCGGCGTGTTCCCACACTGCCCAGAATGTGGTGGTGTTGCAGGGCTTGGATCTCTGTTCACAGAATGTTGGGATGTACCAGCATCAGCTTGACCAGATCAAGCTCCAGTACAAGCGGCAGCTGGCAGAGTGTTGGCATCAGGAGAGCCTCGTGGAGAACCTAATCAAGCAGCGGGATGCCCTGAAGGCTCAGCACGATGCTTTCCTGGAACAGGTAGGCTCTTCCTGCCAACTGCCCTGCCCTGCTCCTCTCTGGGGGAAGAGGATAGCCCCTCCGAGGATGCCAAAAAAAAGGGAAAGATGAAGCGGCTTCTGGTGGAGGTTCAGGTACTGAGATGGTTTGGGGATGGTCTCCCCGCGAGGACTCCTGAGACGAAACATACTGAAGCACAAGAAGACATTGTTAGGAGTGCTCTGCAGCACGCTTCTCTCCTTGTTTAGATGGGCAAAGCATTTCTGGGCCCTCTGAGCCAGCTGCAGGTGTCTGACTTTGAGGAGATCCGGAGCTATCGAGCACCGCCAGAACCTGTAGTCCGCGTGACAGATGCTCTGTGCGACTTATTCCACCGTGAAACAGGCTGGGCCAGTGCCAAGCAGCTCTTATGCCCCGAGGATTTTTATCAGGTAAGGAAGATGAGGCCTCAGGAAGAAGGAAGAGGAGAGGCATAAGGGGGAGACCTGGCAAGATGAGGTAAGAGCTGTTGGGTCAAGGTCTAGAGCATTTGGCTCTTCTCTTCCCGTACAACCCATGTTCTCCAGGAGTTGGTGTTCTTCCCCAAGGAGAAGCTCACAGACTCAGAACTGCTCAAGTTACGACAAGCTCTGAGTGCTCCGGGTATGAGCGATGCCGCGCTGCGGGCAGTGAGCAAGCCTGCAGCAAACCTGGCAATCTGGCTGTGGGCAGTTATGCACTATGGGATGGCACAGCGCCGGGGACTACCCACAGGCCTGCTGCTGCGGCAGGTGGAGGAAACATTAATCCGAGAGCAGGCTCGCTTAGGCCGCTACCAGTTTCAGGCCCAGGAGTTGCTGGAGTATACCTTAGACCTGACTAAGAAGCTGGAGGATGCCCAAGCATCTCACAGCCGTATGCTGGAGAACCTCAATCAAGCACACTACGGACAATATCACGAATGGCCCATAAAGTCTGCGCTGATCACCCCCATGCACACCTGGATTACACAACTCCAGGTACTCAACCCCTCCCAGATGATGTCACTTTCTCAGTTCCTTCTGTTCCCTAAGGCCCCATGTTCTAACTGCCCCTCTCTCTTCTGCCTGCCCCCCTCCATATTCTCCTCCACTACCCTACCTTGTTCCTCTCTACACGTATACCCTCCGCCGGGTTCCCTCACTGACCTCCACGCCTCCTGCTCTTTCCGACACATCAGAAACTGAGGGAGCACTGCATGAGTCTGTTTGGAGATGCCCTCCTGTGCTCTGCTGCCATCACCTACCTGGGTCCCTTCCCACCACTGAGGCGCCGGGAGCTGCTAGACAAGTGGCTGGCTCTGTGCAGGGGCTTCCCGGAGGCCCTGGGCCCAGATGATGTGGCCCAGGCACTGAAACAGAAACATGGCATCGTACCACCAAAGATGTCTCTGCTGCCCACACGCTCTCCCTTCAGGATTCTCTCTCTGCTGAGCAGCGAAGCTGAACAGTTCCAGTGGGACCGAGACCAGAAGCCCCATGCTAGGTCAGCCCGCTTGATAGGCCTGCTGCTTCGAAGCTTCACTCACTACTACAGCTACCGTTGGCCTCTGCTGCTTGACCCTAGCCAACAGGCCCTCATCTGGCTGGACCCACTGCCACGGGCAAAGAACGTGTGCTTAGCCTCAGAACCCACCGAGAGGCTTGGTAAGCCAGGGGTAACATGTTATATCGGAGGCATCTGAATTGCCCAAGACTCTCAGTTTCTTGTGGTCCTCCCTTTCATAATAGAGACACTAAATTTCTGTGACTTAGGATCTCCCAAATTTTTACTGGCCTATACTACATTAACAAATTTGGTCATGTTTACTTTGTTAGTGATTTTTGACACGTTACCACGATTGTAGACTGGTTTCCCAGCCCATGATCTTCTATTTCTTTGCTCTACTTAGCATTATTAGAAACCTGCTCAAAATCCAGAACTTTGCTTCCCAAATTTATCCAGCATTTGAAATTCTTCTTATAAAAAATGTTATTATAAAGGTGATGTACAGAGGGGTTATAGTTACATAAGTCAGGTAATGAGTACATATCTTTTTGGACAATGTCACCCCTTCCCTCACTCTCTCCCAGGTTTCCCCTCCCCTACCTCACCCACAAGTTGTAGAGTTCTATTTCAACATAGTGTGTAGTGAGTATCACTGCTGCATTTGCTTACCCTGTGCTTCTCCATTTCATTGCCTCCCTTTACACTCCCAAAGACAAATAAGTGAACATACAAGACAAAAGAAAACAAAAACAAGTCTCTTGTTTCCATTTTCTGAGTTCATTTTGATAAATATGATTTTATATGATCGGAAGATCATATAGGCCTTGCCCCATTGGTCTCACTGTGTGTGACTGTCTAGAGGCCTGTATAAGTTATCCTGTCCCATTGTATTTTAGATCTAGCTTCCTCATGAGAGAAAACATGTGCTATCACGTCCCTGAGCTTGGCTTACCTCACTTAACATGATTTGTTCTAGGTCCATCCATTTCCCTACAAATGATATAGTATTATTCTTTCTAATGGTTGTATCAAATTCCATTTAGTATAGGACATTTTTTTGGATCCACTCATCTATTTGGGGGCATCTGGGCTGTTTCCATAGCATGGCTATTGTAAATAGTGCAGCAAATGAACACGGATGTGCCAGTGTCTCTTGTCCTGGCTTGTGATATTCTGAGTATATGCTCAGGAGCCATACGGCTGGGTCATAGGGAAGATCTATGTTTAGTTTTTTTTAAAGGAACCTCTAGGCTGCTGTCCAGAGTTGTTATGCTAGTTTACATTCCCACTAACAGTGCAATAGGATTCTCTTTTCCTCACATCCTCGCCAACATTCACGATGTTGACTAATCTAAGTGAGGTGAGATATTTTGATTCGCATTTCCTTTATGGGCCAGGGATGTTGAGCATTTCCTTGTATGTTTCTTTGCCATTCTCACCTCTTGTGAGAAGTCTCTCCTTAGCAACTTTGTCATGTTTGAAATTCTAAGGGAATATTTTTATTGACTCTCTTTGGACCAGAGGCCTGTCAGGGTGGCATGTTGGAAGAAACATTTCCTAGAAGGAAGATGGAGTGCTTATTTCCTGAAAGAAGGGGTTATGAGGCTGTAGATATGAGAAAAAATGTAACACGATTTTGGAAAAGGGCCTGTGATGATGATAATGAGGTTTAATAAGACTTTGAAAGGGGATAATCTTACTTATATGTGTAGATTCAAAATCCCATGACTGGCATCTTAGAAAAGGAGGAGATGGCAGATATACAAAAGAGAAGTCCATCTGAAGGGGGAGACAGAGGTTAGAGTTATGCAGCCACCAGCCAAGTAATACATGCCTAGAACTATCAGATAATGGAAGAAGCAATGAGAGATGATCCCTTAGAAGGCTTTGGAAGAGCACAACTCTGCTGACACCTTGATTTCAGACTTGTGGCCTCCATAACTCTAAGAGAATAAAGTGTATGGTCATTTGTTATGGAACCCCTAGAAACGAATCCATACATCATAATTACAAGATACCTACTACACAGATATCTGCTGGCCATCGATGTCCTTTTTGTTGGGAAAGTACAAGCTCTTCCAGAAGTCTGAATAGACTTTTTTATTTTTGGTCGGTCATGAGGCTTCAACTCAGGGCCTGGGTGCTGTTCCTGAGCCTCTTTGTGCTCAAGGCTAGCACTCTACCACTTGCGTCACAGCACCACTTCTGGCTTTTGGCGCATAATTGGAGATAAGAGTCTCATGGAGACTTTCCTGTCTGGGCTGGCTTTGAATCATTATCCTCAGATCATAATCTCCTGAGTAGCTACCATTACAGGCATGAGCCACAAGCACCTGGCTCCTAGGCAGACTTCTGATCTCCATGACCTTTACTTCCCTCCCCCCCCCCTTTACCTTTTGTTTCTTAAATTCCTTTTCCAATTGCTGAGGCTTGAACCTATCATAGCCTTGTACTTGCTAAGCAAATGTTCTTCTTCTGGTGTTAACATCATGTATAGGATAAGAAAGTCCTTGTAGATTTAATTAAGATTACTAATCAATTGATCTTAAAATAGAGGTCTTATCCTGGATTATATTGTGGGGGAGGGTCTTGAAATCAGATGAGCTCTTTTTTTTTTTTTTTTTGTCGGTCGTGGGGCTTGAACTCTGGGCCTGGGCGCTGTCCCTCAGCTCTTCAGCTCAAGGCGAGCGCTCTACCACTTGAACCACAGCGCCACTTCCGGTTTTCTGGTGGTTTATTGGAGATAGGAGTCTCATGGTCTCTCCTGCCCGGGCTGGCTTTGAACCGCGATCCTCAGATCTCAAGCCTCCTGAGTAGCTAGGATTACAGGCGTGAGCCACCAGCGCCCGGCTCAGATGAGCTCTTCTAAGCAGAAAGGAGGAAGAAAAATATTTGAAATTCAAGAATGATTCAACACAATGTTATTGGGTTTAAAACCTGGGCGCTGGTGGCTCACACCTGTCATCCTAGCTACTCATGAAGCTGAGATTCTGAGGATCACGGTTCAAAGCCAGCCCAGGCAGGAAAGTCCATGAAACTCTTATTTCCAATAAACCACCAGAAAACCGAAAGTGGCACTGTGGCTCAAGTGGTAGAGCACTAGCTCTGAGCTAAAAAGCTGAGGGACAGCGCCCAGGCCCAGAGTTCAAGCCCCATGTCTGACAAAAAAACAACAACAAAAACAGAGAAGTCTATAGGGCCAGTATAAGAAGGAAATCAAAATTTACTGTTAAAAGCCAGTAAGAGCCAGACACACAGATGTGCATCTGTCATCCCAACTATTCAGGAGGCTGAAACATGAAGATAACTTGAGCCCCAGAGTTGGAAGATAGAAAGAACAACATAGTGAGATAACTATGTCAAAAACAAAGCAACAGGGGCTGGGAAGGTGGCTCAGTGGTAGAGCGCTTGCCTTGCATGCATGAGGCCCTTGGTTCGATTCCTCAGCACCACATAAGCAGAAAAAGCTGGAAGTGGCACTGTGGCTCAAGTGGTAGAGCGTTAGCCTTGAGCTGAAGAGCTGAGGGACAGCACCCAGGCCCAGAGTTCAAGGGGCCCCCACAACCAACAAAACACACACACACACACCAAACAGTAAATCTAAATGGAAGATATTAACACTGGGATGAGACTTCTATGCCTAGAGGTCACCTTGATTTTAGTTTAGTATAATATTGTTCCAGATGCTCCAGCCATGCTATGCTGGACTTGTAACAATACAGAACTGTGAGATTATAAATGATACTGCTAAATTTGCAGTAATTTATTACCAATAAAAAGTGATACACTATCTGTGGATCTGGCAACCTCCCTTTGTAAAAGAACCTAGGAGGAAAAAATCCCTGGAAAAATCTTACTAGTTCCTGCAGTAGAGGAGGCAAGGAGTCAGTTGTGAATGGCTGCTATGGTGGTTGCCCACCAATGACTTGGCTGATGTTGAGCCTTTCACTTATGTCACTGTCCCCCAGATACTAAGGTCCATATGAGTGACTATATTAGTTAAGAAGAGAAAGGCATTGACTCTTCTAGTCAACCAATAGAAGGGGCCGAAATAGGGCCAGTTTCAGAGATGATTGACCTCCTCCCTAGAATTTTGGAGTCTGGACACTTGTTTTGTGCCAGTCTAAGTGCTTTTTTGTTTGTTTGCTTTGGTTTGGTTTTTTGTTGGTCATGGGTCAACTCTCTACTACTTGAGCCACAGTGCCACTTCCAGTTTTCTAGTGGTTTATTGGAGATAATAGTCTCATGGACTTTCTTGCCTGGACTGGCTTTGAACCGCGATCCTCAGATCTCAGACTCCTGAGTAGCTAGGATTACAGGCGTGAGTCACCAGTGCCCGGCTAAGTGCTTTTTATATACCATTGCAATTAATCTTCACACTAATCCCATGAGGGCCTCACTAATATCAAGCAGATTTTGCAGACGGGGAAATTAAATCATAGCGCTTACATAGCTATTCTAAGGCATCTTTTTGAAGATCTGTCCTCATTGAAATGGAGTCCTTGGGTGAACGGCTCTCCCTAGGATTGCAGTTCCTCTACTCCATCTTTCTGTCCTAGGGAATTGCCTCCTGAGAGATCTAACTAGAGATGAAGAAGACACCGAAGATGACACTAGTGAAGAGGAAAATGAGCCCGAGAAGCAGACAGAAGAACAAAAGCAGGCGAAGAAAGAACAAGAGGAAAATGTGAAAGAGGAGACTGAGACTCAGAGTCAGGGGTCAGATATCGTTTCTGAGGCTGGGCCTCTGCCTCCTGTCTGTCTATGTGTCCTCTCGGGTGCTGACCCAGAGTTGGGTCTTCAGCTCCGGAAGGCAGCTGCCAATGGTAAGAACCTGCCCTCACATACCATGCCCTCCCTTTTAGACTTCCCCCAGTCCTGTGACCACACAGTCCTCCCACAGCTATCTGATCTCACTCAACTCCTATGCTTCATCTCACTACGTAGAAGGGTAGGAAACCTGCCCTGAATGGAGCCAGATCTTGTGAAAAGGGGTTGGATGATATAAGTGTTGGCATTGTGGGTAGGTAGGTTGTCCTTGCTTTCTCTCACAGGCCAGCCTGTGCTCCTAACCAACATGGAGCTGGGCCTAGGGTGCCAAGAACTCCAATGGCTGCTGCATCGGGAGCAGCTGAGCCCACCCGAGGTGCAACCTGGCTTCTATCTCTATCTGAGTACTACCATCACACTTGGTGCCTTGGAAAATGGTAAGACAGAGAGAGGTAAGTTGCTGATACAGCTTTGTGGACACCCTAAACTCCTAGGATCTGCCCTCAGAGGGTTTCACCTAGCCTTGAGCTGGCTCAGAACTGTAGTAGAGCCATACATACTTCTTGTCCTTCCCATCTCCCCATGCCATATCTCTGCCAAAAAGAAAATATTAAGCCTCTTTTGCATGGCCCTCCAAGTGCTAGGTTGTGAACTGCTGAAGAGGATGAATGTGATGGATCTTGGCATGAACATGGATGTACTAGAAGAGCAGATGCTGCATGAAATCTTGTCTAGAGAGGCTCCTGAGCTTAAGAAACGCTGGCAGGAGCTACAGACCAGACACTTGGATACCTGTGAAGCTGTTAAAACTGATGAGGTGCTTGAGGGGCCCAGTCTATGGGACAGGATGAGCTTTGGGAGGACCCTTGAAGTATGGAGGTGGAGATGAGTGGGGAGATGTATGGGGACTGTGAGAAAGGACCAGATCCATCTATTAAAATGACCATATGCACAGGAGCGGTTATTGACTGCCCTACTGTTACGGCGTCCAATGCAACAGAAACCTGCCAAGTTTCTGCGGGACATGGTGAGAGTCCAGGCAAAGATATGTCAGCTGCGAGCCCAGATTGAGGAGCTAGAAGAGCAGAAGATGCGGGAAGTTGCACTATGGGTACCCTACCAGAATGTGGTCTGTCACGGGATAGCCATAGTAGAGGCCCTTAGCTCCCTACAGAACATGCTGCCACTTTTCCATATGAGCTTAGAGAACTGGCTGACAGCTACCAAGCGGGCTTTAAACAGTATGAAACCACATGACAGCCAGCATGGAGAGGACTTGGCCAGTCATCTGCTGCAGCTGAAAATACGCTTGACTCGCCATCTACTGGGCAGCACCGTGGCTATACTGGGGCTGACCCAAGTACCCTTGGTGGGTGCCTTAGGTGCTCTGGCTCTGCTGAGTGTGAAAAACCAGGCCCCAAAGCTAGAGAAGCTGGCACTGTGGCCTGGATTGACGACCTCTTTGATCACAAGTCACAGCAAATCCGCGTCAGGTGCAGGCCGGCCAGCATGGCTAGGGCTGAATGCCTGGCAAGAATGTGCAATATTAGAACGGCTGCCTCCCTTTAACGGGCTGCGTGCATCCTTGACAGAACAGCCTAAAATCTGGCAGGATTACCTGTCGCTGTCCTCTACAGTGCTGGGTCCTGCACCTGAGCTTCAATCAGAGCCACTCAGCCTCTTTCAGAAGCTGATTCTGTGGAGGGTTCTGCGACCTGACTGCCTGGCAGCTGCCTTGGCAGACCTCACCACCAGCCTCCTGGGCCGCCCGCTGGATGAAAACCTGAGTGCGCCTACCATACCCTTCGAACACAGCCAGGCCACCCAGCCCATACTCATCTTGCTGCCGCCACCCGGTCACCCCACAGCCTTGGGGCATCCTCTGGCTGACATTCAGAAACTAGCTGACGTCCACATTCAGGTTTGAACCTAGCCACTCAGCCACAGACTGAGCAGGCTCTTGGGGGCTGGTGTGAAGTTTGGGGGGACCCCCCCCTCCTCTCAGGCATTCTTGTGGATCTTCCTGGATTATTCAAGCACATTTTGGATTATTGTGGCTCTTTTGAAAAACCATTTTGATTCCTCAGGGTCATCCAGTACCACTGTGAGTCACTGTGCCATCTTTCTTTTTGTCTCCAGAAGCAAGTGCAGGTGATAGCTCTTGGCTCCAAAGCCTGGGACCCACTCTCTGTTGTTGTCGGCAGTCTGTGCCAGGCTATGTTCATGGGGTACTGGTTGGTGCTGGATAACTGTCATCTGATGCCCCATTGGCCAAGAGAGCTGCTGCAGGCCTTGCTGAGATTACTGGATGGAGCTAAGGGTAGGTTAACTGTTTAGAGATGGCTTCCAGAATGAGGGCCTCTATATTCCAGCCTGAGCTTGAACACTCAGGCCTTATGACCAGTCTACTAGCCCCAAGCCTAATCACTTCTCTACAGCCTTGTGTCAGAATGCTGTCAATCCAATCGCAGGTCTATTCCTGGACTTGTGGATCTGCCCCTTATTTGAGGTCTGATCTCTGCTCCTTTTCTAACCCTAGTGGTTTCAGACAGGGAATTGGAAGACTCTGTACCTCAACCCGAGATCAGTACTACAGCCATTGTCCACAGAAATTTCCGTCTGTGGCTTATTGTGTCCACAGAAGCAAGATCTTCCTTGCCAGGTGAGGGGCAGCACCCACAGGTTCTCACTTCAGAAGTAAGACAACAACTGTGTGGTGCTGACTTGGAGCTTTGCTTCTTTTTCAGCTGTGCTGACTCAGCACTCCTTGCCTGTTTTCTGGGACCAATCCCTGGAGCTGAGCCACATTTTGGTCAACAATGTGGAATTAGCCCAGCAAGAATCCCTTGCCCAACCCCCTACCCAGATAGTTCCTTTGCTCCTCCTACATGGCCTTCTGCTGCACAGGCAGCTCTATGGGATGAAAATGCAGGCACACAGGGGGCGCTGGTAAGAGATCCACCACCCATCATCCTGTTCAGTTAGCTCAGTCACTCACCAAACTGTTTTCCACATGAAAAAAGAACTAATTCATCTTTGGTATCTCCAAAGTAGAAGTGTAAGGGGAAGGAAATCTTTAGGACTTTGAGATCTCCTTCTGAATTGAGTCTTTAAAGCTGAAGCAAACAGAAATATGGCCTTTCTGAGCAGGGGGAACTAAGCTGAGCTGAAGGGAGACTTCAATGCAGCTGGAGTAAGGCATGCTGAAGGTTGAAAAAGAGGGCCTTGAAGCCAGGCACCAGTGGCTCACATCTATATTCCTAGCTACTCAGGAGGTAGAGATCTGAGGGTCATAGTTTGAAGCCAGCCCCAGAAGACAAATCCAAGAGACTATTTTTTTGTTGGTGGTCATGGTGGTCATGGGGCTCCAACTCAGGGCCTAGGCACTGTCCCTAAGCTTTTCATTCAAGGTTAGTGCTCTAGAACTTTGAGCCACAGCTACACTTCTGGTTTTCTGGTGGTTAATTGGAGATAAGAGTCTCCGGGACTTTCCTGCCCGGGCTGGCTTTGAACCATTATTTTCGGCCTCCTGAGTAGCTAGGATTACAGGCCACCAGCACCCACCATGGCTCTTATATCCAGTTAATTAGCAAAAAGGTCTAAGTGGAGCTGTGGCAAAGGGTGGGGCTGATGCTATTCTGAGACAGTGAGAAGCCACTGAAGGGTTTTCCTTAGGAAAGGACCTTGATCTTTCAGAAAGATGAGCCAGAGGAGGTGGCACTGGAGGCAAGCACAACAGTTTTGCCTTTAAAAAATTTGTATTCCAGCTGGGTGCTGGAATCATACCTGTAATCCTAGCTACTCAGGAGGCTGAGATCTGAGGATCATGCTTCAAAACCAACCCAGGCAGGAAAGTCTGTGAGACTCTTTTCTCCAATAAACCACTAGAAAACCAGAAGTGGTGCTGTGGCTCAAGTGGTAGGGCTCAAGTGGTAGAGTTCTAGCTTTTTAAGAGCTGAGGGACAGTGCCCAGGCCTAGAGTTCAGGCCCCATGACAAAAATAAAAATAAAATTAAAAAAGCACCAAAAAAAGAAAGGTATTCCAGTAGCTTCCAAAGAAGAGATGATAAATGAGTGATAGAGGCTGGGATGAGATTGAAGAGCAAACATGAGAAAGGGAAGAGGGAGTCGGGGGTGACTTTCCCAGTTCTGCTTTAGACAACTGGGTGGCTAATGACACTTCTCGCTGGAATAAAAGATGGAACAGCTTTTACAAGGGGAAGGGTGGTGATTTCATATGGAAGTAAATGGAATTTGAGATGCCCAGTCCAATGCCTAGTGAGACCGCATAACCCTGAAGCTCAGAAGAGAGGTTTGGGAAGCAGAAATGACTTGAATCGTCAGTATATTGGTATTCTTTAAAATCCTGTGTGTGTGTGTGTGTGTGTGTGTGTGGTGTGTGTGTGTGTGTGTTTCCTCTCCCCAGGAGTCAAATAACCCTGACCCAAGTCCTTCAGACCCAGAATCAGCTGTGGGCCAGTCTCAGCAATCCCAGTGTTGCCATGCAGGAGCTGGCTGGTAAGACATACATCTGGGACATGAAGTCACAACTTTGGCTGGGAGGTGTAATGGATACTGGAGGGGCTGGAACTGAGGGACTCTGGCCTCATCCTCAGCTTCCATTTTCTATGGGGGCCCGCTGGAAGACAAGGAGGACATGAAGGCTCAGATTAGCCTCACTCAAGCCTGCCTGGGCTCCAGCAATAGGAGTGGGGTCCAACCACACACACCTCAGTCTCTGCTGGCCAGTTTGATGCCTAGTCCAGGTAAGCTCCCGACAAATTATCTGTGTGTGGAGCGGGGTGGTGTAATGTCACCTCTGTCCCCCGTCCCCACCCAAAGTAGACACAGCAGTGCCAATGAGGGCCTATAAAGGGGTCACAGTCACAGGTTGGGGGTGGAAGTGATGGCATGCCACACCAGAGGAACACCTACTCCCTCAGCTCTGGGATCGGGGGGTGGATGTCGAATCCATGTTGTCCCTCAACCCTCGCCTCCCACTCCCAGATCTAGGGAAGCTGGATGCCATGGCCGAGTGCAAGGCGCAGGTACACCTGCTGCCCACCCCATCTGAGCCGGGGATCTGCGGCCTGAGTGAGGCCCCCCGCGACTCGCTGCTGCGATGCCGCAGTCGGGCACTGCTACGCGCCATGCGGCAGTGCGCAACCTCCTGGGTCCCTGCCGACGCGGGAGGCGCCCGGCGAGCCGAAAGGCGGCTGCGGGTACGCCTAGTGCAAGCCAAGGGGAGGCTGGAGGCCCTGCAGGATCTGCTGACCCAGCACACATGCGGAGACCAGTCTGATGCCTACAAGGTGGGGCCCACCAAGGAGCAGCCCCTGCGGGCCTTCCTGGAGCGCGAGGTGCTGGAACTCAGTCAGCTGGTAGTCTTGCTGCAGTGTGACCTTACCTGCCTGCTGCAGCAGCTCTCGGGGGAGCCCCCATGCGCCTCCCACCGCTGCGTGGAGGTGGCCCAAGCCCTCTGGGCCGGCCACTTTCCCCGGCCTTGGCGACGCCACGCACCAGCTGGGCCGCAGCCGCCCTGGCAATGGCTCCGGCAGCTGTCCAGCCGTGGGCAGCAGTTGATTCTCTACCTGGGCGACGGCGAGGACCGAGGTTTCCAGATCCCCCAGCGCATCTTTCACCTGTCAGCCTTTTGTCACCCGCGTCGCCTGCTGTTTGCCCTGCGCTGGGAGGCCATCCTGGCCAGCCCCAGCTTCCGGGGTTGTCAAGATTTAAGTTTCGGTGCTCTCCTGTACAGACGTCAGGAGCTGCCCCATCTTCTGCACCTCCGGGTATCTTGATGTTGCCCCCACCCCGCCCCCCCACCCCCTGCTTCCCACCAGCCTCTCAAGAATCCATTACATCCCATGTTGACCCTCAGTCACCCCTAGTCCCTTTTCTGATCTTGGATTCCTCCCTCCTTATCCCCACCCAGCTTCCTACTCAGTTCTGACCAGTTTCTGGTTCCCCCAGGTGGAGAACGGCCCCAACCCCACGGTTCCTGAGCTGGGGTTGCTGCTGACCGGATTACAAGTCCTGCACGCCAAGTGGGACTTATCGGAGGGGGCCTTGCGGGACACCAGTTCCACCCAGCCCAGCCCTCTGCCTCCCGTCAGCATCAGGGCACAGGCCCCTGGCTCCAGTGACCTGCCTGCCCCAGACAGCCTGCCTGTGTACCTCTGTCCCGTGTACATGGCAGGGCCCCTTGGCACCACCAAGCTGCACAGCAGCAACATCCTGATGTACCTGCCCCTACCCACCAAGCTCAGCCCCGACACCTGTGTCCTACGCAGAGTCCACGTGTGTAGCCCACCCTTGCCCTGCCCTCTACCAAAATAAAAGCTAGCAGTGAGTCCAGAAATGAGTTCTGAGTTTGGGAAGGAGAGTGGAATATGCTCAGGAGACAAAACAAGACACGAGGGGAGAGTACTATGTGCACAACTGAGGAATGAGAGGTTGTGTTTACGCTGAGTTAGATGGGGGCATGAGCTGGACACCTGGGGAGAGGACCTGTCCTGGACAGGTCTAGGACACCTTTGGAAGAGGGGCCTGGTGTTCCTTGTGGTTCCAAAAGATTAATCCGATGTGACAGTGGCTAACAAAGACTTCAGAATCCTTGCTCGGCTTTGCATTGTAGTTGCAGCACTTGCGCTAAATCCTCAAGGACTTCCTGTGTTACCAATCTCATCATGTCTTCACCTATGATAGATTCTTGAGGGGATTATACATATGAAACACAAAACCTAAGCTCTTCCTTCTTATTCACTCTTCTTCTATACCAGGGATTCTTCCAGACACCGGTGAGGTGTAGGGCACATGGGCAGCAAAGATGGCGCTGAGAGGGAGTTGAGTGGGCAGATCCTGATTTGTTTACCTTCAGTGCGTAAACAGCTCGCTCACAGAAGCTTAGGTGCATGATACGGTGTGACCTTTACAGTGATTGGTTGATTCCTTTTCCTCCCCTGCCATGCCACCAGGCCTTTTTTGATTTTAAAAAGTGCTTGCTATGTGGTAATAAACGAGTTCCTGCTTGACTTGACTCGGGAACAGGCATGCAGCCGCACTTACCTTTCCTCGGACCCCATCTGTCTTTTGTGGGATGGACGAAGACCCGACACCTGGTGCCCAACGTGGGGCTCGAAAGGAAAATATAGCGGCCGAGGCTAAGTGGTCTCTCAGGGTAAGTGAAACTCTTAGTATGAGTAATGCTATCTCACAGAAGGAGGAGGAGGAGGCAACATTAGGCCTAGAGGGAGTACAGGAGGACTTGAGAAGTGAGAAAGAAAAGGAATGGGTGAAATTCGACCGAGAACGCACTGAAACATGCACAGTGGAAGTCAAAACAAGGGTGAGGTTACCCCCTCTGACTCGGGTGCCCCTGACAGTCCCATGCCCCCACCCTATCCCCCCGATTGGGGGGGAGGTATGGCGCCCTATGCAACCTGCAAGAGGGACCTGCAGGACCCGGACCCCTACCGACCTTCCAAGGAGGGGCCGAGGGCTGGGGAAGTAACCTACTTGGAGGGCTACCCTGGAAAGGAAGGGCCACCTGGGAGCCCAGACTCTAGGCCACAGGATTCGCTTCCCCAAGCATATCTGGTCAATCTGGCACCAGGAGCTAACAGGCCCTTGGAGTGGTATCCATGGGAAGCTAAGGATCTTAAAGAGCGCCACAAGGCGGTGGCGGAGGATGGCCCAAACTCTCCCTGGGCCCAAACCTTATTACAAGACATTGCCTATCACCCGTGTGTCCCTAAGGACTGGCTGGATGTGGCCATCCTCACCAGTTCTCAGTTTATTAAATGGTGTGCTTTAAGGAGGAATGCAGAGTGCGAGCAGAGAATAACCGGCAGGCTCAACCCGAGATACCTATTACTTATGCCATGTTAGCAGGGACAGGGGAAGGGTGCTCCACTGGCATCCAACAGACTGCCATACCTGGCCCATACCGTGACCAGGTGAGGCAGGCAGGACTTGCCGTGTGGTACAAACTGGATGATGGGCCTACTGAGTCCCCCATAGCGGGAGTGAGACAAAAACCGGGTGAGCCTCTAGCTGAGTTTGTAGACTGACCAACAGAGTATTAACTGCCAGCTGCCCGCAGGGGACTGCCGAGATCAGTTTGTAAAGCTACTGGTCTGGGAAGGGATGAATGCAGACCACCACACGGCCTTGCCGCTGCATGGGATTGAGAGAGAGTTCCCTGAGCAGATGGGTGGTGGCCTTGCAGGATGTGGGAGCACAACAGTACCAGTCCCAATCACTAGCTTTAGCTTTACAGGCTCAGACATCTGCACTGACTAAGGCTATTACCCAGGCGCTGGCAGCCCAGGGCCAAGGAACCCCAAGACCATCGGGGAGAGGGACTTATTTTAAATGCGGGCAGGAGGGGCACTTTAAGAGGAACTGTTCACAACAATCCCTCCTCCCCTCCCCTCCCCCGTCAATGGGGGGGGTGTCCAAACTGCCCCCTACACCCTGCCTCAGGTGCAGGATTCCAGGTGCAGGATGCCTGGCGCCCTCCATGTTTTTACTGACAGGTAAAGCAGGCTCTGCGTAAGCAGCCTTTGAGGAACAACAAAAGACCCCAAGCCAACAAAGATTTCAACCTTGTCAAGTCAACACAATATAAAGAAATGCTCGCTCTAATTATGGCCATTCAGGACATTCAAAAACCCTTTAATTTGTATTCTGATAGCCTATATATGATTAACTTGCTCCCTCAAATTCCCCAGGCACATATTAAGCTGGATGGAAACCCTATTTCCCCCTTGTGGTTACGCTTAAGGGCCTATTAGAAGGGCAGGGAGCCCCTATTCATATTCAACATTTGAGAGGGCATTCAAAACTTCCTGGGTTTTTATCCGTAGGTAATAATTGGGCAGACCAGTTAGTTACTGGCCCACAAGCATTAACGTTACAAGAGGCCACCTGTTTGCATGATTTAACCCACATTAATTGGAGAGGTTTTCAACATAGATTTCCTCAGATTCCTGTAAAGGACCTCAAAAGGATAGTACATCCCTGTAAAACATGCCAGCCCTTCTTAGGTGTACCGTTACAACCACCAGGGGTAAATCCCAGAGGCCTTAAACCTAACGTCCTCTGGCAAATGGATGTTACTCATTTCCTAGCCTTTGGTAAGTTCAAATATATCTTTGTCTCTATAGATACCTACTCAGGAGCATGCTGGGCCACAGCACATACAGAAGAAAGAACTAAACATTCACAAGCACAATTTTCTTCAATGCTTTGCCACCTTGGGGCTACCAGCACAAGTTAAAACCAATAATGGACCCTGTTTTCTTAGTAAAGCAATGTCAGAGTTTTTTGACAAATGGCATATTAATCATACTACAGGAAATGCCTATAATCCCCAAGGCCAAGCAATTATAGGAAATAACCAATGTCTTAAGGAACAATTATTAAAACAAAAAGGGGGAGTTAGCCCCCATATACAGTTACAGATAGCTTTGTTTACCATTAACATTTTAAATTTTTCAAAAGGGGCACTGGGGACAGCTAAACCCTAAGCCCCAAGTGAAAGTCAGATGGAAGGACCCCCTGACACAACAATGGAGAGGGCCTGACCCCCTAGTTACTATGGACAGGGGATTTGGATGTGTTTTTCCCAAAGGGGATTCAGCCCCATTTGGATCCCTGCCAGGAACCTTAAGTTTTTACCAATTTCCTCTATACAGAAGGATGCCCAAGGATAAACCAACCAACAAGGAAAGAAAAACGGCTATGGTGGCCAAGGCTTGTGTTTATTATTTTAATAATAATTTATTATTTATAATTATTTTATATTTATTATATATATATTTATATATATATTATATATATATATTATATATATATTATATATATATATAATATATATATATATTATATATATATATATTTTATATATATATAATATATATATATAATATATATATATTATATAATATATATTATATATATATTATATATATATATTTATTATAATTATAATAATTTATAATTATTTTAATGTTACCTGCTCTAATTGTTCTTTTACTAATTGCTTGTATAGCAGCATTACTGAATCCCTATGCTTCCTGTAAACACGTCTAAAACTTGGTATTTGGGCCTTTATTTCATTAGCTGCCTCCGCAGTGGCAGCTGCTATGGCACTAACACAGAATGTTAAACATAATAACTTGTCTTTAGATCCTTTTCAACCCCACAGGCAAATAGCCGGATTAGAACAAGCCCCACCTCTGGACTCTAAAGTGGCAAAGACTGCTATCCCATCCCTGACTCGTGTTAAAGGACTGCTAATGACTTGCTTGGCCTTGGCAATGCTTTTGCTGATGGTTTTTCTATGCCTTCCTTGCATTATACGTGCACTGCAAAACTTTTATGAGTTTAGCGAGCCAGTTACATAAGATCAAGCTCCAAGTGAATGGATTTCCCCTGAGAGGAACCACAGCCAAAGACAGGTAGGAGAGGGTGCCAGTCTGACCAACTTAATACAGGGCCTTCAGCTTCGCTCTGAAGAAGTTCCCGATGACAGGTAAGGCAGACAAGGTGATCCACCCAACCTAAGACAGGCGGGTTCGCTTCTTTAAACAAAGACGGGGTGTTGGGAGCCAACAGTAAAGCTCAAAGGTCATCTTGACCCCTGTGCTCGCTTGAAGGCAAGTTTAAGAAACTGGCTTACTTGAAAAGACACCAGGTGCCGGGGATTGCTTTGCTATGTCTGCAGAGTTTGTTTTACTTTCAACTAGTTGACCTTGTCTTGTTTTTACTGCACTCTGTTTCCACTAATCGAACTGCTTTGGACATTTCTAACTGTGGTGGGGCTGATGTTTATTTTTGTGCTAGGTGGGGATGTGAGGTAACTGGGACGGGCTCTTGGATCATGCACCAGGGCCCTCCCTATCCTAGTCTGGCAAATCTCGACCCCCAGACTTGCCTCAAACCCCCTGCGTGGCCAATGCTATTCTTACCAATGTAATCCTGTTAAAATAACCTTTACAGAGGAGGGGAAAAGGATAACTAACTGGGAAGCAGGTCTGCCATTAAAACAAAAAGGGGGAATCTGTAGAGCACATGGGCGGCAAAGATGGTGCTGAGAGGGAGTTGACTGGGTAGAGACCGATTTGTTTATGTCCAGTGCGTAATCAGCCCGTGGAAGCTTAGGTGCATGATAGGGTGTGACCTTGACAGTGATTGGTTCCTTTTCCTCCCCATGCCACGGGTCTCTTTTGCTTTAAAAAGTGCTTGCTGTGTGGTAATAAACGAGTTCCTGCTTGACTTGACTCACAGCTGCTTCTGATTGTCTCCCGGGCTGAGGGAGGCTGGGGAATGGG